TTTCACAACATTCCTCTTATATGTGACTGTTGTGGCATGTGTTTTCATTTTTATCATTCACAGCCTCGTACACCATCCGTACTACTTTGTCAGGAATCTGCCCAGATCAATGCCACTGTAAAATCTTGTTTTTTCCAACTCCGCCATCCGTCCAAACTAAGAGCGTCAGCCTGAGGAAGTTTGCAGCCGCAAACGAAACGTAGCGGGAAAACAGGTAAACAAAAACTGCTCTGTGTTTTAAAAAAGAACTACAGCATGGAATAAGAGCTGTTTTATCTAGAAAAAATTTGGAATCAGTTGTTCATGCCTTCCTCACATCTAGGCTCGACTACTCAAATGCAGTTTTGCTGGGTGTCAATAAGTCAACCCTTGCCCGACTTCAACTCGTTAAAAACGCAGCTACTAGATTCCTAACACGTACTGACAGGCGCCAGCATATAACACCAGTTCTCAAATCCCTTCATTGGTTGCCCATCACTTTCAGCGTCCAATATACAATGCTACTTTTTGTTTTCAAATCCCTCCATGGTCTTGCCCCCGTGTACCTATCTGACCTTCTTTCAATTTACACTCTGGGTCGCACACTCAGGTCCTCCAGCCTGTTGCTCCTCGAGGTCCCGAAAGGGTGTTACAAATCATGTGGACAAAGAGCTTTCTCTGTTGCCGGTCCTAAACTGTGGAACGAACTTCCAGTCACAGTTCGACTGGCAACCACCTTGGCAGATTTTAAGTCTAGACTAAAGACACACCATTTTACCCTTGCTTTTAACAATTAGCTGTTAGTTTGGCTTTTACTACTCTTATTATATCGTCCATTGTAAGGTTTCATTGGTTTTATTGGTACTTTTTTATGTCGGCTTGTCTTTTTTTTATTGTTGGCTGTATTTTATAGTACTGTTTTATGTTTTTATCTCTATTATTGTGCAACTGTTCAACACTTTGGTCAGCCGTATGGCTGTGTTTTTAAAGTGCTACATAAATAAAGGTGGTATGGTATGGTATGGTATCTATTGCTTTAAATTAACAGATCGTCTTCTGTTATTTTGTAAAGACTTTGCCATCCAGCTGTGTAACACCTCTAATTGAGATCTATGTTGGCCAATATTATTTATAAAACTAATGACCCCTCTGTGGTCCCAGTGTGTGTGTGTGTGTGTGTGGGGGGGGAGGGATGAAGGAAGGTCAGCTGACTGCATTTGCCCTTGATGCACACACTGAGGTCTTTCCTCATGATACCAAACACCATACATAAATGAAGTGTTGCCACGGAGACCACCAGATGTCTACACAACACAACTGGACTAAAGGACATGCAGGTGTTTCTTCCTCTCATCTGTAATTTTAGAGTGTCTTGGGAAAAAGAAACCTTCGTATTTAATCTCAGCTTACCTAAAAGCATCGGTATAGATGTATTTTTCCTCATCCAAAGCCCAAAAACGAAGGTTTTAGAGACGTGCTTTTATTATTTGTTTTTATTTTTTTGAGTTTCCCATTCATTTGCACCTGGCTGAAGCTGTTTTATACCAAAACGTATACGTCACATCTGTTTTGGCTTCTCATTTGTCAGGACTTTTGTAAGACTCAGGTTTGTAATGGTTTCATTGATTGCTCAGTCTTCACATCCATCATCAAAGGGTCAGTGTTCTATCTCCATCTAATGACACTGTTTAAACACAAACCTCATCTTTAAAAGAACGTTGCACACACAAAGATGCAAAAAGCAAACAGCAACCTTTTAAAAGAAAAGCCACGGCCAGCATTATGAGCCTAACTTGTATTTCTAATCCACCTAATGAAATGCTAAATCTACTTGTGGTTTATTTTGCAACATTTAGATTTTATAGAAGGAGGAGCGACGGGGAAAACTATTAAAGAACGAGGAGCGACGAGGGGAAAACGATGAAGTGCATGTTTCTGCTGGTTGCTTGCACATTCAGTTGATGCTTTTGTTGTTCAAGATGTGCAAATCCCCGGGTGCTCCAGTAAATAACCCTCAGGTCCTTGTGGCTTTTACTAATGGGCAAATCAGTTCCTATTTGTACCAACTTTTCAACTTAGATCCTGGCCTCACAATGCTGAACAAATGATCCGACCAAATCTACCTACCTACCTACCTGGTTTAGCTCTCTGCTGCCATCTGGTGGATGATCATAATCATTACATCATCCTGTCAAACATGGCAGCCATGTGCCCCTAAAAAATACATGAAAAATTCAGCTGAAGTCATAATTTTTGGTACAAAGTTTTATTAATGAAGTAGATAAAGGTGCAGTTACATCATGGAGATTAATCTGGATTAACAGACTGATGTCAAACTTTTCCATCAGACTAAAAATAAACTAATAAATGTTGGCAAATTACTGATGAAGAATAGATTATGTGCAACAAAGTCAATGTTGTAATTAAGCTAGTCTTAATTAGAACTGTTAATGTCTAAAATGGGTAGTTATTAATTAAATGTTTCCAGACAACAAACCTCTTATAGATCACCTGAAATTTCACTTTAAACATTTTTTATGAAACATTTAAAATGAAATGTTTGGTTTATGGACTTAAAAAATTAGTTTTGGTGTGAAAATAAGGCAATGTGTGTTAAGGATGGTTCTTGATTGCCCTTTACATTATTATCTTTTCTTAAATTTCAAATATTATTGCATGTTCTCATCTAGTGCAGAGCCGATAGAGCATCATCATGAAAGATCAACACCATCGTGTCCAAGTGGGATGGTTTCACTTGTATTTGCTCCATCTCCAACAGTGCATGTTGTGTGATCCAAATACAAAAAGAAAAAACTCACAGCCCCTAACATTTACCTATGTACGCAGTATTTACTTGTTGCACATGATTTGTGCACAGTGGCTGTTAAAAGAAGCGAGCTTGAACAGCTTTTACATGACTGGATTCAAGCAAAGCCTCTTTGAAACATTAAAACCTGTTTGTGACATCACAATAAGGAAGATTAGCGTAAAAACCCCCCCACCCACCCACCCACACACACACACACACACACACACACACACACACACACATTCACACACTGGTGGGGATGAGCTACAATGTAGCTACAGCTTCCCTGGGAGGTGAGACAGCCTAACACTGCTGTCACCGGTCTCTTCGACCACCAGCAGAAGGCGAGGCGGGTTAAGTGTCTTGCCCAAGGACACAACAGCAGCATTCTCTGACAGGAGCCGGGATTGAACCTACAAACTGCTCTACCTCCTGAGCCACCGGTTTTTAGCTCCCTCCAAAGCTTTTTGATGCCAAGTGAGAAAAGTTTTCTCAAAAACTTAATTTAAAATTCAAATAAAATACAGTTTTGAATTGGGTGAAGTTGAATTTTATTTTCTTAGTACCCCTTGTGTCATGATCCACCCCGGCCTCCCTGACTGTGTCTCTCCTGCCTTGATTACCCTTATGGTTTTCACCTGTCCCTCATTACTCTGCCCATGTGTTCCTGATTCCCTTGTGTATTTATACCTCCCTCCTTGTTGCTGTCTTCGTTGGATCATTGTCATTTTGTGCATGTTCGTTTGTCCTGTCTACAATTAAACCATTTTTATTTTTTCATCCGTTGCCTGCTCTTCTGCCTCCTGAAACCCACCACCACACATGGTCTGCCATCTCCACCCGCAGAACATGACAGAATGATACAACCAAACCTGGACCTGTGGTGAGCCTACCATTCTGTTTCTTGAGGATTATTTTTCTTTTTGTTCCCTTTCAGCGGAGGGGGATTTCGGCCTGGAGTTTTTTGGTTTTTCGGCGCATCCTACCTGTTCTCGGGGTGGTCGAGCCCTCTGGGAGATTCCGGCGTATCCTAGCTGTTTCGGGATGGTCGGGGTCATTCTCCTCTCCTGCTGTTTCGCTCCGTCCTGTTCGTCACGGAAGCTGCTGTTCCTGGAGTACTCTGATGGAGGTAAAACCCCCTACGCACGCCATCATTCTCCGGGGTGAGAGGGCTGGTCTTCCTGCTCCGTGGTCTACTTCCCTTCACCCGAGCCTGCCTGAGGATCCTGTCGAGTCACGGTATGCACCTGCTCAGAACCGTGGTCGAGTATCTGCTGCCGCTCCTGGTTCCCTCGCGTCGCTCCTGCGGTTTTCGTCCCACTTCCTGGTCCACGCCTGCAGGGTCTATGCTGGGTCCTATGCCTGCTGCTGCAGTTCCTGCTGGGTCCCACGCCTGCTGCTGCAGTTTGTCTTCGTGTTCCTGGTCAAGTCTTCGTGTTCCTGGTCAAGTCTTCGTGTTCCTGGTCAGGTCAAGTGTTCCTGGTCAAGTGTTCCTGGTCAAGTGTTCCTGGTCAAGTGTTCCTGGTCAAGTGTTCCAGTCAAGTGTTCCAGTCAAGTGTTCCAGTCAAGTGTTCCAGTCTGAGTTTCCTGGTCCCAAGTGTTCGAGTTTCCTGGTCCGTCCCAAGTCAAGTCTTCAAGTTCGAGTTTCCTGGTCCGAGCTCGAGAGACCCTTCGTGGGTTGGAATTGTGCCGCCTGGTCCGAGAGGCCCCTGCTCCGCGACCCTGGTCTGAGTTCGTGGAGACATTTGTAAGTTGGAGTTGTGCCGCCTGATCCCAGAGGCCCCTGCTCCACAGCCCCGGACTGAGTCCTTTGTTCCCTGGTCACGTCTTCTGTGTTCCCTGGTCATGTGTACCCGAGTCTAGACTTCGTTCGTTCCAGAGTCTCCTGTGCTGTGTGGCTTGAGGGCGTCTGGTATCCGCCCCTTAAGGTGGGGGTACTGTCATGATCCACCCCGGCCTCCCTGACTGTGTCTCTCCTGCCTTGATTACCCTTATGGTTTTCACCTGTCCCTCATTACTCTGCCCATGTGTTCCTGATTCCCTTGTGTATTTATACCTCCCTCCTTGTTGCTGTCTTCGTCGGATCATTGTCGTTTTGTGCATGTTCGTTTGTCCTGTCTACAATTAAACAATTTTTATTTTTTCATCCGTTGCCTGCTCTTCTGCCTCCTGAAACCCACCACCACACATGGTCTGCCATCTCCACCCGCAGAACATGACACCTTGTTTATTTTGTCTATTCATGACAAATCTACCATACATTCATCACATCCACTAAAACATATGAATCAGATCATCAAAAAGACCCTTCACCAATGAAAAACTATTATTTTTTATCTTACGAAGAGTTACTGTATACTACTGACATTGAAAATCAAAAGACAACTTCAACTATTGTTTACAATATGTTTGCTAAATATGGCAAGACTGAATCAAAATGTTGTAACTCATTTATACTTTTCTGTTCCATTGTCTTTCCAGGGAAAATGAGCTCCGCAGTCATGCAGAAATCACAGAAATTCTGCAGTGATGCCTGGAAACAACAGAGGAGTTGTTGCTGTGAGACAAAGTGGCCATCAGCCCTTTAGTGCCAGGTGAAGTGGCCATGATGGACATTTTCTTCTCTATTTTCTCGCCTGGCTGCAGGAGAACCAGCCTGAGGGATCAAAAAGAAAAAGTTCATCTTCCAATGTCAACTCCAACAAAGACATAAAGAGTTTATCTCCAGGGTTCTGAAACGGTTCAGAGATCCAGCGAGGAATCGGTGAGGGGTTTGATGCTGTGCAGCGTGAAATGGTACCAGTTATTCAGGGTCCGGATTAGGAGTGTGCTATCTTAGGTACCTCCCAATTCGATTCAGTTTTGATTCAGGGTCCTTTGATTTGGTTATTAAATGATTATCATGGTTACTACTATTTTTGATGCATTTTCTGCCCTTTTAGATTTTTACTCACATCATAGCTTTTTGATACTGTCAAAATAACTCAGCAAACTTTAATTCAAGTTACCAAATACCTGTGACTCCACTATCCTATTCATCTCAAACTGAACACACACCCTACATATGTTTGCAAAAAATCTACGAGATAAACGTGAATAATGAAAATGAAATAAAACACGTGCAGTCAGTTTCGCTTTTGTAAACAGAATCAGATGAGAGTCGGCAAACAGGAGCGATGCAGAGATGTAGATCTTCTGGTGTTTAGAGCTGAAGCTAAGCTAAAGGAAAGTCAACGACAGTGCAGAGAAGGCCCCCACTCCCACTTTATACAACCATCGTGTAATCTTTGGGAAAAAACCAAATGCACCCTGGTGCTGCCTCAGCTTTGCTGCAAAGTAACGCCGTGGTTTTATGAAACAGGCTGGAGTTCTGGGTAAGTTTTGTTAATCCTTCCTCGATTGTTGGCTAGTTAGAAAGAACTGCTGGCTTCTTCTCTTCATCTAACCTGCGATGGAAACGTGTGGTGCTGTCTTATGGTGGTAGAGTTGCTGCTGTATTTTATTTTAAATTTACACCACTTTCCTTTGATCACGCATGAATGAATTTCATGCACAGTGGCTAAAGCTAACAAACAAGCTTCCATCATTGTTGTTTTGTTTTATCCACTGGTTTTTCCAGACGGTACTGTAACTTTTATGTTGCTGTCATGCTTTGCAGCTGTTTTTCGTCATTTATTTATATTCATTTATGAACATTTACAAATCTATTTGTATTCGGTACGTGTCCCATGATGCATCAATGAAACGGTTAATCGGTACACCCCTGGTCCGGGTATGTTTTTGCTTCTAGAACTCACTTTTTTACTTGTTCTCAACTGAAGAACCCCAAAACTAACTAACCTTTTTAACATGTAGCTTTCGTTGTGTAATGCGTTACTTTCTTTTTGCAACATCACAGGTAACTTCTGTTTTGCAACATGTAACTTTCATTTTGTAACATGTAACTTTGCATTGTAAGATGTAACTTTGGTTTCACAACATGTAACTTTCATTTTGTAACAAGTAACTTTCATTTTTGTGACATCTAACTTTGCATTGTAACACGTAACTTTTGTTTCACCACATGTAACTTTCATTTTGTAACATGTAACTTTGCATTGTAACATGTAACTTTGCATTGTAACATGTAACTTTGCATTGTAACATGTAACTTTGGTTTCACAACATGTAACTTTCATTTTTGTGACATCTAACTTTGCATTGTAACACGTAACTTTTGTTTCACCACATGTAACTTTCATTTTGTAACATGTAACTTTGCATTGCAACATGTAACTTTGCATTGTAACATGTAACTTTGCCTTGTAACATGTAACTTTGGTTTCACAATTTGTAACTTCATTTTGTAACATGTAACTTTCATTTTTGTGACATCTAACTTTGCATTGTAACACGTAACTTTTGTTTCACAACATGTAACTTTCATTTTGTAACATGTAACTTTGGTTTCACAACTTGTAACTTCATTTTGTAACATGTAACTTTCATTTTTGTGACATCTAACCTTGCATTGTAACACGTAACTTTTGTTTCACCACATGTAACTTTCATTTTGTAACATGTAACTTTGCATTGCAACATGTAACTTTGCATTGTAACATGTAACTTTGCCTTGTAACATGTAACTTTGGTTTCACAACTTGTAACTTCATTTTGTAACATGTAACTTTCATTTTTGTGACATCTAACTTTGCATTGTAACACGTAACTTTTGTTTCACAACATGTAACTTTCATTTTGTAACATGTAACTTTGGTTTCACAACTTGTAACTTCATTTTGTAACATGTAACTTTCATTTTTGTGACATCTAACTTTGCATTGTAACACGTAACTTTTGTTTCACAACATGTAACTTTCATTTTGTAACATGTAACTTTGCATTGTAACATGTAACTTTGCATTGTAACACGTAACTTTTGTTTCACAACATGTAACATTGTAACATGTAACTTTGCATTGTAACACGTAACTTTTGTTTCACAACATGTAACTTTGCATTGTAACATGAAACTTTGCATTGTAACACGTAACTTTTGTTTCACAACATGTAACTTTCATTTAGTAACAAAATGTTATAATGGCTGGGAAAAACAGACATCTAAAACCAATTCTGTCAAATACAGAAAATATTATTATTGGCAAAATTTCAGAGGTGTTGGCACAATGTTTGGCATTTATTTATTTTTCTATCTATCTATCTATCTATCTATCTATCTATCTATCTATCTATCTATCTATCTATCTATCTATCTATCTATCTATCTATCTATCTATCTATCTATCTATCTATCTATCTATCTATCTATCTATCTATCTATCTATCTATCTATCTATCTATCCATCTATCTATCTATCTATCTATCTATCTATCTATCTATCTATCTATCTATCTATCCATCTATCTATCTATCTATCTATCTATCTATCTATCTATCTATCTATCTATCTATCTATGTATTTATTTATTTATTATTTCAATGTCATTGCTTAACATCTAACACACAGGCGTGCAACTGAAGCTTAATGCACTGGTACAGCATGCACATTTATGTCATATGGTAGTCATGGGGGGGTGTATGGGGATGGGGGCTGGAGCACCAGGGGCCAGAAGGAGGAGGCCGCCTATTGAGGACCACTGAATAGATAGTTAAATTGTGTCAACATTATTTTCCTGCTGCAATAAAAATGAAGAAACACCGCTCATCTGGGTTGAGGTGCTGGATAAAAGACTGAATGAAGAGGAAGAAAATCCGCACATCAATCTGCGATAATATAATATTTATTCTTCTCAAGCTTTCGGTCAAAAGACCTTCATCAGGAATTGTCTTTTGACCGAAAGCTTAAATATTATATTATCGCAGATCTAAGTGTGTGGATTTTGTTCCTCTTCTTTCCTGCTGCGATACAAACTGGAATCCTTCTTGACAGCTTTCCCAAACTGCATTACTAAGAAAAAACTCTCTTCACAGCTCACATCTACAAGATGCAACTGGAGTGCGTTAACAAACTATTCATATTTTAGACCTACTTGGCCTCCTGTTTCCCCTTCAGCAAGCCAGATCCCTCCACACTCAAAACAACGCCCAACAGAGGTCTGTTAAACGGGTTGATGAAAGTCACATGAGCTGTTTTCTCTTTCTTCACTTGGATGTTGTCACCGCCTTCAACCTGCAAAGAAATGACAGCATGAATCCCTCAAGATGGCAATATTGAATGGTTGCTTAACTTTCTTTGCATTTGCTCCTTATTTAAGTCCTTAGTCTGTAGATGTATTATTAAAAGCATCTGATGATATGGATAGTCTAGCTTTGTTTGTATTTTATCCTTGCAGCTAATATGGCAACCCTTCATTATACAGCATAATTGGCGTGTTTCAACTACCGGAACTTCAGGGTAAATTTACCGAAACTGCCCAGCATGTGATTTTACCACTGCATCGGACTGGCCGAACGGCCGTTTTCACGAACTTTCAGACTACTTGATCAGGGGTTGGTGCTCGGAATGGCTCAGTGGAGTTGCTGAGCGGAACTTTTGGTTAACTCGCCGTGACTGGTTGTAACTCAACAGGAAATGACATCAACAGACTAGGGTTGTCACGATACTAAAATTTCAAACTCGATTCGATACTTGAAAAAAAACTCGATACTCGATTTCGATACTATTTAAAAACACCCATTTATCGAACAAGTTTATTCAAAAAATAACATTCCTCAATTTATATTACAAAAATTAAATTTTAAGAATTAAGTGTATTAAGTGCTTAAACCTTTCAAGTATCAGCATTTTTAAAAAGGTGCATACAAAAACTGGCGAAAGTTAACACTTTAAATCATGAATTGTCTCACTATATATACACTATTTGCAGAGTGATGTTTTGCTGCTTAAACTCTGTTTAAGGTGCATTTTTGTCATAAGATGTAATACCATATGTTTTGTTCTGTACTTTTGAACAACTCTGTTGGTCAATAAAGGGAGAAAACGAATTTCTCCACAGTAGGACAAAGGTACATCTACCGTTAATCTTAATAAAAACAGACTGGCGCACGGCAGTGACGTCATTAAAAGCGCCGGTTAGATTAGCCGCAGCTAGTCTGTTTACGCCTAGAAATCCCAGACCAGACCCGCTCCAAACGAGCAGGGGAATCACGTTAATGATTCCTAACAAAACCTTTCGACATGAAGATGTTTTGGTGCAGATAATGTCTTATTTCGAGGCTGCACCATGGGTGCCCGTCCGCACCCGTTATATGGATATACACTGATGGCGATTCGCCGATGGATCTAAATACCCCGGGGAATCCAAGTAGCACCAATGTTGTCAGCGTGAGTAAACAAACGTACTGTATGCTAGAAATTAAGTCCGGGTTGCAATAAACGGGAGTTTCCTTTAAGCACATAAGCATGAATATACAACTACGTGTCGGACTTGGTATGTTAATTAAGTTGGGCTGTGAAGCGCCCCCCAAATTCGCTATTTATGTTTTTGTTTATTTATTTGGCAGACAAAACTTGGATCGGAGACAACTCGCGTGGGAAATTGTAATGTAGCCATGCGGCGTCTTCTTCTGTTTGTCTGGGAGGCGGAGGCTGCTTTACGGCATCTGGCTGTCGTGCGTGTCGGTGTACTTGAAGAAGGCTGTGTATAATAGTCCATAATATCGATACCACAGGGATGGAATATGTAATTTAGATACCACTTTTAGTATCGATTTATATCTAGGTATCGATTTTTTTGACAACACTACAACAGACCTCATCCAAATCAACCGGCATTAGTAAAATTAGAAAAGTTGCTTGTGAAGCAGAATGGAAGGAAAAGAAGAAAAACCAAAGATCACGCTGCTTTAAAATTCTTTTTACTAAACTCCCAACACCGGAAAACATGGTGGAATTCCCCAACAATTTCCCCCTCCCAGATTTTACCCTGGAGTTCTGACAATAGAAACACACCTATCCCACTGTCCTAATGGGTGTGACCCGGCAAGGAAAGTTGACCATTGAGCAGGATTGATGGTTTATCCTTTGGGTCCATGTGGCAGGGGTGAGGAGTGAGCACCACCTCACCCCTGCCACGTGGATCTCAAGGGATAAACCATCAGTCGTGCTCAATGGTCAACTTTCCTGGCGGGGTCACCCCTGAAGACAGTGGGGGGTTAAACTACAAACTCAAACATGATGCTAAACATCCTATTGACCAAATATATAATGGTCATATTATTATCACAATTCCATAATATCTGGCAACCCACAGACCACATGACATTTATGTAGTGGTGCAGGTGAAAAGGAAGGAAGGCTCCCACTGAGGACAAAGCATGACCAATAAATCAAAACCAGGTGAAAATGTGAAAAAAAACTGAGGACTACTTCCAGAGGGAGGAGAGATGCAAGGTGGGCGTGAGTAAGGGAAAGAAAAAAGTAAAAACAGAGGGAAGCGTAATAAATTACAAGCTATAACACGTCAACTGACAAAGAAAAAGTGTGCAAAACTCCTGCCAAGGAGCATTGGCTAAAGAAAAAAAAAAACAATAGAAAAAGGTGACCTAGTGATGAAACTAATGCTGGAATGTCCACCTCCATTCACCTCCAAACATATTTTTACATAGTTTATCGATTCTGTTGTCTGATAAAGCTTAAACAGACAACAACAATTTATTTAATAAGCTTTTGAGGTGTGTGGGTGTGTGTGTGTGTGTGTGTGTGTGTGTGTGTGTGTGTGTGTGTGTGTGTGTGTGTGTGTGTGTGTGTGTGTGTGTGTGTGTGTGTGTGTTGAACGCTTAAAGCTATTTTTTTAAAGTGGGTTTCAGTGAATCTGGTAGAAAATTTACCAGCTTCACCCTGGACAGCACTCTGAAACCCTCTGCTGACCAGAAACTGCACTTAACTCATTCACTGCCATTGACGACTAAAGTCGTCATTTGCCATTTTTTTTACTGTGTGGGTGTCGGACGAGCCCCCGCACTGTGAGAAAAAACATCTCAGCTCTAAAGCCGATCTTCATCCACAAACGTCACACGTCACGTGATCAGAAAGCAGAACATCCATGTGTTAGGAGATCGTTTTTGGGCCGCTGCTGTAAAAAAAAAAAGTGAGGCGCGAACCGGAAAAGCTTCTGCCGATCACAATTCAACAACGGATTATGAAAGAACGGATAACGCTCGAAACGCGCGGATTCTTCCTGATGTAAGAGGTGAGTCTCCACTTTGTTTTGGTTGTTTTGGCATCGACATCATCCTAGCGCACAACGTTCTGTGACTCTTAAAAAACTGTAAAAATGGCGAGAAACGCTGGCAGTGAAGGGCTATAGCGATCAGGAAACAGCTGGCAGCGAATGACTTTGTTGGATGGGTAAGTCCCTAGGGGGAGCTCTCTACCTGCTTTACTGCTGTTAGCTGTTTCCTCTACTGATAGCTAATATAAAGACTAGCAGTTAGCTTATTCAGTTCCTTCCCTGATCATCACAAGGAAAAAAAGTTGGCTTTTTTGTTGGCATCATGGCAGAGCCAGGAAGTAAAAGTAGGAGAGTAATGTCTTTGGAGTCAAAAACGCAAACAAACAAACAAAACACCCTAGTGATAACTACAAAATCTTTGCGACTAACCAAGTCAAGATTTTTATCAAACCCAGATGATATGAGACAATGAATGGAAGTTAGACTCATCCAACATGATGAAAAGGAAGAAAGATGCTGCCTTAGAGCTACAGCAAAACACAAGAAATGAACACTACTGGGATGCATTTCCCCTCCACTGACACCACATAAGAAAGTGAAGATGCAAATCTATTTAACCCGCCACCACCACCACCCCCTGTCAAAATCTCAAGGTGCGGAAATCTTTTTGTGCTCAGAGGAACAATCAATCTGACCACATTTTCAATTCCAAAGGCAAAGTTTTGTCAGGTGACTGTAAATGTGATGAAGCCTAGTTTGATGAGTTTCATTTAGGTCACCAAACTGTCTTCCAGAGGAGTCAGAGAGAGGAAGTTGACATCAGTGCTCCTTTGATGTGATTTCTGTCTTTGCACTTGATTACACTACAATAACTCGATCTCGTCACATGCAGCTGACAACCACCGAGCAGATCAAAGAGAGAACAATAAAGAAGAGACGAAAAGAAAGAAAGAAAAATAAATGTAATTAATTCATGAGAAGAGGACGGAAGCTGAGCATTACCTGTACGGTTATCTCAGGTGTACTCATGTTGAATTCATGTGCATCCAGGACTCTCTCATTGGTCCTCATGTCCTGCAACACCACCCCTACGTTCACAAGGCTGTCCAGTTTCAGGATGGACTCGTACTCAGAGTACAGAATGGTGTGGTGGAGCGTCAACACTGTGGAGATCGCAGCAAGTCAAACGCGCGCGGTCAAATCTGAGTAGAAGGATCAACTCTTACAAACTGGATCACCTTGTTGTGGCCGTACGGACACCTCCTTCTGAGTGCTCCAGAAGCTTTGGTGTGGATTTCTGTTGTAGGCTTTCAGCTGAGCGTTGATGTGCTCCAGCAGGGCCCGCTGCCTGCTAGAGTGGTTTGTGATTGTCACACACAGGTTAATGTTCTCCCCCAGTAAAGGTGACCCCTCTACCACTACGGACACCTCCAAATGGGATGGCAAGTCTCCTAGAAAAAAACCACTGCATTGTTCATAGATTTCACACTGAGATCCTTCCTGGAACCTGAAGACACTGGTGCTGTTTGAGCAAACAAGTCTTGAAGGGAAGTGCATTTCAGTTTCTGAAACTAGGTGTTAGTGTTAACGCTGGTGAGGGTTCTCCAACGTCCATGCCATGGTAATCCCATCAGGCTTAAAGGAGTCCTTCACTAGCTATTTAAAATCAGTTGTTGTGGTCTTGAGTTGGAAAAGGGTAGAATGCCTTCTCCGGGCCAGGGATGAGGTCCTGCCTCAAGTCGAAGAGTTTAAGTACCTCGGGATCTTGTTCACGAGTGAGGGAAAGCTGGAGCGTGAGATCGATGGGCGGATTGGTGCTGCGTCTGCAGTGCTGTGGACATTATCGGTCTGTAGTGATGTAGAGAGAGCTGAGCCGAAAGGCAAAACTTTTGATTAACAGGTCGATCTACATCCCAACCATCACTTATGGTCACGAGCTTTAGGGTAGTGACCAAAAGAACGAGATCACTGATACAAGCGGCTGAAGTGAGTTTCTACGCAGGGTGTTCGAACCTCAAAAACATAAAGGCTACTGAACTTCTTTATATTCTTGGAGACTTTTCACTTTTAAACGAAAGGAGCTCGAAATTGAGCCAGGAACAGAAAAGTATCCTCTGAAAACTGCCATATGTCTTCAAGAACACATTCTGAACCTATGAGAATGAACATTAATGAATGAAAATTCATCGAATGAAGCCACAGACCATCCGGTTGTCTGTCTTGTCGAACCACTGCACTGCTGCATTTTCCTGGGTCCTCCATTACGTACTCACACACTTATCAACAGAACACCACTGGTGTGAGAAGTTCTCCGCTCAATAATATCAGAAAAGGAGAAACAGCCGGCTGCTACCGCTTCAACTTTAGGACAAACTACCAGAGTCCCAAAAGGAAAACCACTTTTTGAAGTCACGGACAACAAAAGATGTAGAAAACGGTGACTGGTGTTTAGCGCTATCTCATTTTCTCCGGCAATGCAGGTTTCCGATAGCTTTTCAATGAAAGGAGCTCGAAATTGAGCTAGGAACAGAAAAGACTCCTCTGAAGACTGCCAAATGTCTTCAAGAAGACATTCTTAACCTACAAGCATAAACCTTGACTGTATTTTGAGGTGATATTGGGATCTGAACTTTGATAGATTTGGAAGGTTTTATACCCTAATAAAAAAAAGGTTAATCTACCAAAACCTATTCAACATGGTGATTTTACCAACATTTGACTAAAGCAGTAAAGAGCGATTCTAGATTCTTACCTGCAGCATCTTGAGCAGGAAAGAGGGAGTACGATGAGCGTGTGTGGGCTGTAAATAAATGCAAAAGTTTTAAAAAGCCATTTTTATTTTACTGCAGATTTAGGTTCACTTGCAAACATTTTGTAGTTTTCATGAGCTGAAAGCCAATTTGAAGCTGGTTTTGTAAAAATGGCACAAGTATATATATTTTATACATTTTTTAACACAAAAGTAGGATGAAAATGGACGTCTACATAATTACCAGATGCAGTAGACAACACAGAACTGGTAACATGTAAGCCTGGAGGTAACAAGACAAAGAGAGTGGACAAAAATTCACTTCAGAGGTTCAAACTCAATATTTTTGGGTGAAAGGAATAAAAAAGTTTAGTTACCATATTGGGACTTGTAAAATGATCGTCTGTCACCCAGAAATTGCCTGTGCTGAGGTGTTCTGTGTTGATATGCCCCTTAAAACAAACATAATACATGAAAATGCTAATCTGGTTTTTCTCATCATCACAGATGTCCCCCCCCCCCCCCCCCCCCCCCCTCGTACTTTTAATGCTCTTATAGGTCATCGTCAGATCCTGCGGGCTGTCCAAGCCGATGCTTTTCGTGCAGATCAGCTGTCCCACACACTGGCTGCTCAATGTTTCCCCCACCACTTGTCCGTTACGTAAAATCACACGATGCACATCAGCATCGACAGCAGCGTAGAGGAATCGGGTGTCAAACGGCACATTAATGCAGCGCTGAATGGCAGCTACTGGACAAGGGCCACAGCAGAACACCCCTAAGAGAAGGAGGTGTTCATGTTTTTACTGAGTCGATCACAATATTTTGTCACAGAGGCTCAAATGTGACATTGAGGTCAAGTGAAAAGCACTAAGCTGGTTTAATTCACATTTATCTGATAGATTAGTCATGGGGTTCCTCAAGGTTGAGTATTTAGTACAATATTTTGCATGTGCGTCAACTAAGTCAAACTGTTAGGCAGCACAGGAAAAATTACTCAGACATACTGTATCATCCAGTCAGAAAATCAGACAGAATAACATAAACACCTGGACAACTTTAACTTTCAGGTTTTAAATTCCAAAAAGACAAGAGTTGTAGTTTTTGGACCTGGCTCTCTTAGGAACAGACTGTGTCATCATTCACTTCGTCTGGATTGTGTTAACTTGACCTGATATGAACCGGACTTTTGACTAATTCAAAGCAGAAGCCCAGACCTCCACTCTTCTCCTGGGGTGTTGGATCCACCACCTGCCAGCCATCGAACTCTGCACTGAGGTCGAATCTCCTCATCCAGCACTCCACCCACACATGGAAGTTCCTGTTGGTACAAGAACTTACCCTTCACGATAGCACGGGCCGATAACAAGGTGTAAACAAATCTAAATAAAGGTCACAGTATGATGAGTCACTGGTCTTTAGTTTCCATAAGAACCGTGCCCTACCAGATGCTGTCCTTCGTCAGGCTGAGCTTCTCACCGCTGGACGTGTAATACTCATCGACTGTTGTGTTGCCGTCAGTGTCGTGAGCTGCGTTGAAAACAGTCACCACCCTGGAGGGAATCCCCAGAGCTCTCAGAACTGGGTTGGAGGGAAATAAAAATGTTTTCAGGGTTTGATTTTATTTAACAAAAACAAACATGTTTTTTTTCTTCAATTTTGAACAGATTGTTGCAAAAAGCATAACAGTTCAGTAAAAATATATGTTTTTTGTTAATTTTGCAATTTCAATGAAACGTTGTTAGTGATATTTAGCTGATGTTTGACTTTTTTTTATTAGCCCTGTATTTAAATTATGACCCAGCTATACTGCAGGTCTTCAGCTCTGCTGAAAAGGTGATTGGCTGCTCTCTCTCCCCTGGAAGTAAACATTTAGAGCTGCATTTAATCTGAATCAGTGCCTCAGTTCATTGGACCCATAGAAATGTTCCCATCAGTTGTTGGACAGTATCTTCTCCCTAAACCTTACTAATGTCCTTAGCATGCATGTTTGTGGTCGGTTTAACTTCCATTCACACTTTAGAATATTCTGCACATCTGCTTTGCATATTTGCATTTGTTTCCTTCTAAGTGGAAAACCTAAATCTGATTCAGAATCAGAAGGGTCTCTCACTGAAGCCCTCTGCACGACTGAGTATTGTAAAGAGACGATGGCTAGGTGCATTGCAGAAACAATACATAAAATGTATTTATTTGACAGTTTGGACTGTAGTGTATTAAAAATAGTGTTTCATGATGGTAAACTGCTGGTAGTAATTTTAAACATTTGTTTAAGCACCTGTGCAGAGGACCGATGCAAAGACCCAACACTGTCCATAGCGCACAGGCTTGCAGCCGGACGACAGCCACTGGCGAAGGATATCGGCACTGCTGCTCCAGTCTGTCGGTTTCACTCCGTCTCTGTAGTCGTCCTCCCATCTCCCAAGCACAACTCCAAGATCATCGTTGCTGTTCACCTCAAAGGGGAGAAAGAGATTTTTCAACTGTTACTGTTGCAGCAAAGCTGCAGATGAATCTTTTTGCTTGTGGCTGAGGCAGCACATGTGCATCAAACGTCCTCTTACCATAGCACAGACCACCCTGGAGAGGTAGACAGGGTCCGCTCTTAAAATATAATCTTTGTGGCTGTTTTCTAAATGCTGGTTGCTGACTTGCAGAAGCTTCAGACATGCCTCCAGAACTCCAGGTTCGTACTGAACGAATCCAAACACAGATAAAGCTGCAGAAAACGTGTGTTTACAAGTGGAAATGTGCCCTTGAATGGTATTTTAGTGTTAATCGTGTACCTGACCAAATAACCAGAGCCGCTCGTGAACATTTGTAGGAGTGCCCATGTAGACCAGTCCATAGTCGCTCTTGATGTACTCCTGTAAGTGAACATCCAGCGGCATGAACACCGGATCGTCTGAAACAATGAGAGCAGTTACAATCATGTCCTCTAGCAGTATTAAATTAAACAGTTAAACTTATACGGTAAGGTGGAGAAACGAGGGCTCGTTCCCGGGTGAGAGTTATGAGCGATAACTAGTCAGCCAATAGGATATCCCCGTGGCCAATAGCCAGGGCGCATGATCAATCGGGATACGGTGACAGGACGCTCACCCTGTCACATCTTCCCCCGTTTTTCCGCAACCACGTCCCCGTGCTCCCGCGCAGGGTGCCACAAGTTTCAAATCCATGGACCTACTTCACAGTACTACATGGATCCTGCCAACAACGCCAAATGTGGCAAGGTGGAGAAACGAGGACCCGGATGGGATTCGATTCCCAAACTCGCGGGTGAGCCAAAGGGATGTGCATATGTCCAAGTAGCCAGGGCGCATCATCAGTCGGGATACAGTGACAGGACGCTCATCTTGTCACACGTTAAAAATCCAGAAGACATTTTGAAGTGAACCAATGCAGCCGGTGCCCAAAATTCCAACTCGGCATTCCAAAAATGCAAACATTTCCATTAGCAAACTGTGCAAGAAGTGCAAATAGAATCAAGATCAAAGAAAAATCTCCAGATTTCTGCTTTATCGTTGAGCAGCTCCGATGGTTATGTGAGCTTTTATGTTTTATTTGAAAGATACAAGTTTTGAGATATGACTGAAGCTCGGGTGTTTTCTTTTCCCTTAAAGCTACAATAGCAAATCTGGAAAACAAGTTCACTTAAAACACATTTTCCATGCCTCTTAGCAACGTTCTAACATAGCTATAAATATATTGTGGAAATTAATAAAGCGGTTCTCTCGCATTTTCTAAAACCCTCAGCCAATAACGCGATTCGGAATGACAGCCACAGACCATCCGGTTGTCGGTCTCGTCTAACCATCGCACTTCTGCGTTTTCCTGGGCGTTCCACTCATCACACACTCATGCATTTAGCAACAGAACACCACTGGTGTGAGAGGATCTCCACTCAATAATGTCAGAGAAGAAGAAACAGCCGGCTGCTGCCACTTCAAATTTAGGACCAACTACAAGAATCCCAAAAAGAAAATCACTTTTTGAAGTCACGAACAACAAAAGACGTAGAAAATGGTGACTGGTGTTTAGTACTCTCTCACTTCCTCTGGCAATGTGGGTTTCCAATTCTGGCGAACGCAGAACAGGGAAGATACCCAGTTTGTCTGCAGATTAGCCATTGCAACTTTAAAGATGCAGAACTTACATTGTGACAGAATTGCTACCAGTAAAAGTACTTAAAACTTATTACATCTGCATTGTAGGAGTTGGTAAATTGAGTGTTTTAAGAGCTTAATATATTATCTCTACTTATGACCAATAAGCTGTGATACTCTATTTAAATATATAATATCAACCTGCTTGGTCTTTGTATGTTTAATCAGAAGATTCTAGGATTCGTTGTTTATTCAGGGATTGTAAACACGTCGTCTTGACTCAGGAAACAGTCAGGTTTATAAAAGTAAGAATTTATTTTCCAAACAATTCAGACATGACAAGTTAACTAATATTTACTGTGATGGATGAATCTAGATGGAGGAGATGTGGTATGTGGTGCCTATGTGTGAATATGATGTTATCAGAACTTTCGTATCTAAGAAAGCTGAGTTCTGGGTGTAAAGGAAAATAATTTGGTTTGCGTTAAGCTATGAAGTTGATTATCATCAAAAAGCATCAGATGCTATCTGTGTGTCTACTTCATCCATCTCGGAGACACTCTTCGTGGATCCGAAGGTCAGAGAGGTCGGATGGCCTCTGGGCACCCAGATCCAGTAGATTGACCACAGCACCGACTTCAGTCCAAAGATGTCTCGGGTCACGACAGATGGATGGAACCGCACATCTGGGACTCTTAAGGAGTCGGAACAAAATCAGCTTTGTTCTGCAGGAACCGTTTGCTGTGTCAGCTTTGCAACAACCTTGGCGGCATGTCAAATGGGCAATTCCCATCTGTACCTGGTCGGCCCTGCCCGGATAGCTCCAGTCGGCCCCAGCCTGGCCCGGTTGATTCCCCACATCCTTGCTTAGGTATGCAAGGAATGCAGTAAGAGACATTTTCAGCTTCTAGGTAATCAGCATGATAATGAATGATAATGAATTGAGCATGCCTTAAGCTTGGTTTATGCTTGACGCGTCCGCGAGGTTCGCACGGCTCCGCCCGGCAAAATTGCGTCATTTTATCAACCAAGCCCCTCCACCACGCCTCCGCACGGCCCAAACTTTCCGCACCGCGCACCTAGGACATTTTCTAACATCGCGGACGGTCGGACGCGGAAAAACATGGCGGACTGACAAGAACTAGTATGGCAGAGGTTCGTAAATACAGACATTTGTATGATTCAGCTCTCAAAGATCACCGTGATCAACATGTTAATAATTCTTGGAGAGAAATAGCTCGCACTGTCGGAAAAGACGAGAACGCTGTTAAAATGCTGGAATGCCATGTTGTAAACAACAGTAATTTTCACTTCTACTATGGTGTAGTGTTGGATGCATGCCGTAGAGCTCCATGCTGCCCCCTACAGTTTGGGAGAATATTGGCTCACCGCAGAGACAAACCGCATGAACCATAAACGCTGCAAGTTGTGAAGCACGTTCCAGCCGCGAGCCGCATCACCAAGCGGAAAGTAAATGTGTCAAGCATAAACCAAGCTTTAAGCCCATGTGGTCTGATTCTACCCACCAATCAGTGGCTTGCTCTAATGGAAGGTGGGAATTTGCTGACTGATAAGCCGGCTTATCAGTCAGCAGTAGGTGTGTTGGCCCTGGTCAGCCTGAAGCAGACGACCTCAGAAAGAGGGCTGAAAAACAGTCTCGTTGCACCCTGAAAAGAGGCAGGCCACCAAGATATGTAAGCAAGCTATGCTATCTGGGCCGGGCCGACCAGGTACAGATGGGAATGGCCCAACAGGTTGCTTCTGGTTAAAGAGACTTCACTACGGACGACCGTTTCCGTAGCTTCCTATACAACTCTGTAGAGCTGGAACACTCCGACTGCTGAATCACCAGAGTGATTCTGTTTTTATATTCTCATATTAATTTCTTAACAAATCAGAGAGTGCCATGTTGAGGGATATTACCAAGAATCTCAGAAACACACGCCTTCTTTCAGATACACAGGTTCTGATTTGTGGGTAAGAAAATATCTGTGTCACGCGTTTGACTTAACTTTACTTTGTCCTTGTGTGAGTGAGTGAGATGATGATGGCCTTGTCACATCAAACGTTACTGATCCATATATAAATCAATGTAACACGTCATTTCACAGATTAATCAAAACATTTCATTTAGTGTTCATATAACATTTGTTCATCAACCAAATTATTCTTTAGTGATTAATTAACCTATAATGTTCACATTATATTTAAGAGTTCATTCTTTGATTACGCAACTAATCCAAGCTGAGAGTGTTCACTTTATTCTGAGGCATGAGGAGTCCTGTAGAACGATAAGGGAAACTCGAGGCCTTGAGGAGGGAACGTGATTGTTGACAATACGTTATCATGTGTTCAGAGCTGCAGAGAGGCTCTGAACCAGCTGATGGGATGCAGGATCCGGCAGATGAAAGGAAACACATGCAGACTTGTGTCTCCATGTCGACCAGATATTGAAGGGTCAAACTGTACTTAAAAACTGACCATTACAGCATGCTTAATCTCTTTTGATCAAAATTCCCAATTTTTTTTTTACCTGATTTCACCTGAAATAATTTTTGTTAAAACATGTTTAAAAACTGAGTTATCTGGTTTTGAAACTGATCTCTTGAGTCTTGATTATCACACAGACCCACCTTTTAGCCAAGGGTTGCAGAGCAGCACAAAAGTTCCCACCATATAAGTCGTTCTGCGATGCGCGTTCTCTGTGTGGACCAGGAGCTGATACAGACCCACCGAGGACAGAACAGGGGAACAGATGTGGACGGAGGCCGAGTGACTGTGCCTGTCTCCAGGGTAAATCACAGCTGACCAGTCCAGCTGGGGATGCGGCCCCTCAAAAAAGCTAATTGGGAACCTACATGACAGACTCCCTGTCGAAAGAAGAACATTGATGAGACCGTCTATGTACCATTCTACATTTATATATATTTATTTTGATATAAGCAGTAAACCGGATCAGTCTGCGATCTGTACCCAATCGAACCTCCAGAACCAGCCTCTCATGGTAGGGGTCCCACACCCGGCCCTTGAACAGCAAAGTGACTTTGAACGGTTGTCCTCGTCGCACCACCAGGTGGTTTTTGCTTAACCCCTGGGTCTCATGGGAAACGTGGTTTTCACTGGTCTCAAAGTTCACCAGCCCCACTTCAAAGGGGCCTTTAACTGAAACATAAAAAGACAGAGCACGTAAAAACAAAACATCCATCATTTTTAGGGCTTCGAATGGAGCCCTCAAAGTGCTTTTTGGAGGTTTGTTTGCATCACATTTCATCTGAAATGGTATTTACTGTTCAACAACATTCTTTAAGTTATGGGGCAGCAGTAGCTCAGGAGGTAGAGCGGTTGTCCAGTAATCACGGCTCTGACCAGAGAATGCGGCTGTTCTGTCCTCGGGCAAGACGCTTAAACCACCTTGCCTGCCGGTGGTGGTCGGGGGGACCAGTGGCCCCGGAGCAGCTGTGGCTACATCGTAGCTCATCTCCACAAGCGTGTGAATGGAGGTGGTCTCTGAGACACGTTTCCCAGAAGCCCACCTGTCTGCTCAGATTCACAAATTGTGGTCTTTCTGTCCGATTCCTTATGCTGCTGAATGAGCGCCTCTGAGGACGGCCGCTCTCTCTGGGGGACACCAGATTTGAGCTTTTGATTCCGTTTTTATGATTCAGTTGCACACGTTTGGCACCTCGCACCATCTGGTAGCTTATTTCGTTTTATTTGTGCCATTTCAAATGTTTTTATCATTCGTCGCATGATTTTATTTTTTATAGTGCTGTTAACTGTTCTCCTATTTTACTGTTTTTAGTAGGAATTTTTATGTCCGATTATTTATGCTTTGTTCTTGTGTATTTTGCCTGTTCTTATTGTGTTTCTTGTTCAAGCATTTGGCTTTTTTATGTACAGCACTTTGGTTAGCTGCCATGCTATTTTGAAATGGTGCTTTATAAATAAATATGGTATGGTGTGTAACCTTGGTCAGGCTGTTCTGCAGAGACAAGTTTCTATACTTCAGGCCGCTGGGGCACTGACAATAACGTTGATTCTGATTCTGTCACACCCGGTTTAATGGACGAATCCCACATAACTGTTTATTCCTTCTCAGCATTCCATCAGCCCCTTTACCCACAGTCCATAAAGCTTTCTGGCTAGAAAAGAAACCAGTCTGCTTCCTGTCTCTTTTCATGCATCTCTAGTTGACTGAAAACAATAACGGAAAAATGTTCTGCACATCTTCAATAAATCACCTCATGTCATGGACGTAACTTTCACTTTAGAAGTGTGTGTGGGTGTGTGTGTGTGTGGGGGGGGGGGGGTCTTTACAGTATGCTCTAATGGGAAACAGGCTTCAACACAAACGGTTGTTTTCCGCTTGGTCCTAGAGCTCAACCTGTATCAATTTAATATAGCATAATATTGTTTTTGGATGGTAAAAGGTGCAGGGGTCAAAACTTGACTTTGGAAAAAGTGGGGGGGACATGTCCCCCCCCCCCCAAAAAAAAACTACGTCCATGCCTCATGCACACAAAGTTTTGTTGGCCACAGTTTCTGGCTTTGTGTACACTAAAGAAAACCCCCTACTAAGTTGGCATATAACACAACATTTGGACTTGATTCCACTGTTCTGTTAGGTGTAAAGGTTTTTATGTTTTAGGTGATTTTGGCTGCTTCTTTCTCAATTTCAACACCTTTCAAAACCACGTTTGTACGCAATTTTCACGATGATCTGTTTATTCTCTATCTGTTTAAATACACACCGCTTATTAAAATAAGTTATGCATGGCTAATTTGATTATTAAATGAAAGACCTAAGTTGAAGCACGTTTTCAAGGTTCAAAAATGTGTTGCGTTTGTTTTCACCTGTCACGCCTTCCCTGCGTAAAGGTCAAAGCAATTATTTTTAGTGATAAAGAAGTCATATTTAAAGCCTTTTTTATTCCCATCTACGTCTGAATGATCAAACCTGATGATCTCACCGCCAACAGGGTTTTGAAAAATGACATTTAAAGTGTAGCTGGTTTACTCACAAACATTTGTGCCGTATGTCGTCTGCTGCATGTTGTCCACGATCTGATAACAGGACTCACAGGTGACTGAAGGAATGAGAAGCATGCTCCACCCTCCCTGTGATAAACCCTTCCCTTGTATTGTTTCTTATCTATTTTCTTTAATTTATTTAAAAAAAAAACAGCATTTTTCAGGACATAAAGCACTAGTTCCTCTATTTTAAAGAACAACTTCTGAATTTTTAGTCAATAAATCTAATTAAGAAAAAGAAAATATGTATTTTTCTGAAAGGTGTGGAACACTCGTTTAATCAATACATTTGCAGTGGTTTCTAGAAGGAATGAATGCCTTGTAAGTCGTACTCAAGGGGCAAAAAAAAAAAAACACCGGTGCACTATTTCAAGAAACTAGAAGTGATCCACATCACTGCTGAGCTTTAGAGTCTGATATTTGGACATCTTGTCATGGATTGGATAACAGCAACGAAACTACCACTGACTTCCAACATGGATGTTTTATCTCCACCATAACACAACCCTGAAGGAGTTCCGCCATGTGGTGGAGTCGCTAATGATAACGGTTAGCTGCTACAAGTCGAGAGGTTCTTTGCTGCTTCCTGGACGCTAAACCAACAGCCTTCTCCTCACAAGTCAAGATGGATGAGTCCATGAACGTTGCGACGGTGTGAGGAAGATCTGTCAGGCTTTTCAAATCCCAGAGTTTCAACGTCTATCTTCGATCAGAAGCTAATGCAGGAGATAGGCGTAGGAGGTTATTTTGACGTTCAGCTTGCAAGAAAAACTCAGAGTGCCCCATTATAATCTCGTCTCGTCTCTCGTCTCGTCTCGTCTTCCTCCGCTTATCCGGGTCCGGGTCGCGGGGGCAGCATCCCAACTAGGGAGCTCCAGGCCGTCCTCTCCCCGGCCTTGTCCACCAGCTCCTCCGGCAGGACCCCAAGGCGTTCTCGGACCAGATTGGAGATGTAACCTCTCCAACGTGTCCTGGGTCGACCCGGGGGCCTTCTGCCGGCAGGACATGCCCGAAACACCTCCCCGGGGAGGCGTCCAGGAGGCATCCTGACCAGATGCCCAAACCACCTCAACTGGCTCCTTTCGATCCGGAGGAGCAGCGGTTCTACTCCGAGTCCCTCCCGAATGTCCGAGCTCCTCACCCTATCTCTAAGGCTGAGCCCGGCCACCCTACGGAGGAAACTCATTTCGGCCGCTTGTATCCGCGATCTCGTTCTTTCGGTCATTACCCAAAGCTCATGACCATAGGTGAGGATTGGGACGTAGATCGACCGGTAAATCGAGAGCCTGGCTTTCTGGCTCAGCTCCCTCTTCCCCACGACAGATCGGCTCAGCGTCCGCATCACTGCAGACGCCGAACCAATCCGCCTGTCGATCTCCCGATCCCTCCTACCCTCACTCGTGAACAAGACCCCGAGATACTTAAACTCCTCCACTTGAGGTAGGACCTCTCCCCCGACCCGGAGGTGGCAAGCCACCCTTTTCCGGTCGAGAACCATGGTCTCAGATTTGGAGGTGCTGATCCTCATCCCAGCCACTTCACATTCGGCCGCGAACCTACCCAGCAAGAGCTGAAGGTCAGAGCTGGATGAAGCTAGGAGGACCACATCATCCGCAAAAAGCAGAGACGAGATTCTCCTGCCACCAAACTCGACACACTCCACACCACGGCTGCGTCTAGAAATTCTGTCCATAAAAGTGATGAACAGAACCGGTGACAAAGGGCAGCCCTGGCGGAGTCCAACCCTCACTGGGAACAGGTCCGACTTACTACCGGCTATGCGGACCAAACTCACGCTCCTCTGGTAAAGGGACTGAATGGCCCTTAACAGAAAGCCACCCACCCCGTACTCCTGGAGCGTCCCCCACAGGGTGCCCCTGGGGACACGGTCATAAGCCTTCTCCAAATCCACAAAGCACATGTGGATTGGTTGGGCAAACTCCCATGCCCCCTCCATCACCCTTGCAAGGGTATAGAGCTGGTCCACAGTTCCACGGCCAGGACGAAAACCACATTGCTCCTCCTCTATCTGAGATTCAACTATCGATCGGACCCTCCTCTCCAGTACCTTGGTGTAGACCTTTCCAGGGAGGCTGAGGAGTGTGATCCCCCTATAGTTGGAACACACCCTCAGGTCACCCTTCTTAAAGATGGGGACCACCACCCCGGTCTGCCACTCCCTAGGAACTGCCCCCGATGACCACGCAATGTTGTAGAGACGTGTCAACCATGACAGCCCTACAACATCCATAGCCTTGAGATACCCAGGACGAACCTCATCCGCCCCCGGGGCTCCGCCGCTGTGTAGTTGTTTGACTACCTCAGCAACTTCTGCCCCCGAGATCGGACAGTCCATCCCCAGGCCTCCCAGCTCTGGTTCCTCCTCGGAATGCGCATTGGTGGGATTGAGGAGCTCCTCAAAGTATTCCTTCCACCGTCCGACTATAGCCTCAGTTGACGTCAGCAGCTCCCCATCCCCACTGTAAACAGTGTGAGCGAGTTGCTGCCTTCCTCTCCTGAGGCGCCGGACAGTTTGCCAGAACCTCTTTGGAGCCGATCGATAGTCTTTCTCCATGGCCTCACCAAACTCCTCCCACGCCCGAGATTTTGCCTCGGCAACTGCCACTGCTGCACCCCGCTTGGCTATCCGGTACCTGTCTGCTGCCTCCGGAGACCCACAGACCAGCCACGCCCTGTAGGCCTCCTTCTTCAGCCTGACGGCTCCCCGAACCTCTGGTGTCCACCAGCGGGTACGGGGGTTGCCACCACGACTGGCACCGGCCACCTTACGACCACAGCTAGCAACAGCCGCCTTGACAATTGCAGAGTGGAACAAGGCCCACTCGGACTCAATGTCCCCCACTGCTCTCGGGACGTGGTCAAAGCTCTGCCGGAGGTGGGAGTTGAAGACCGTCTTGACAGGTTCTTCTGCCAGGCGTTCCCAGCAGACCCTCACTATGCGTTTGGGTCTGCCAGGTCTACGCGGCATGTTCCCTTGCCATCTGATCCAACTCACCACCAGGTGGTGATCAGTTGACAGCTCCGCCCCTCTCTTCACTCGGGTGTCCAAAACATACGGCCGCAGGTCAGATGATACGACTACAAAATCTATCATCGACCTGTGACCTAGGCTGCCCTGGTACCAAGTGTACCGGTGGGCATCCTTATGTTCGAACATGGTGTTCGTTATGGCCAAACTGTGGCTTGCACAGAAGTCCAATAACAAAACACCGCTCGAGTTCAGATTAGGTGGGCCGTTCCTCCCAATCACACCCCTCCAGGTCAAGCTGTCATTGCCCACGTGAGCATTGAAGTCCCCCAGCAGGACAATGGAGTCCCCTGATGGAGCACTATCTAGCACTCGTCCCAGGGACTCCAAAAAGGGTGGGTACTCTGAACTGATATTTGGCCCATAAGCACAAACAACAGTCAGGACCCGTTCCCCGACCCGAAGGCGCAAGGAAGCTACCCTCTTGTCCCCCGGGGTAAACCCCAACACACAGGCAGAGAGTCTCGGGGCTAACAAAAAGCCAACCCCAGCCCTCCGCCTCTCACCCGGAGCAACTCCAGCTAAGTAGAGTGTCCAACCCCTCTCCAGGTCTCGGGTTCCAGAGCCAATGCAATGTGTCGAGGTGAGTCCGACTATATCTAGCCGGTACCGCTCAACCTCTGCCACAAGCTCCGGCTCCTTCCCCGCCAGCGAGGTGACGTTCCATGTCCCAAAAACTAGTTTTCTTGTCCGGGGATTGGACCGCCAAGGCTCCCGCCTTGGTCTGCCACCCGATTCGCATTGCACCGGACCCTTCATGTTCCTCCTGCGGGTGGTGGGTCCACAGTTGGACGAGCCCATGTATCCGGTTCGGGCTGGGCCCGGCCGGGCCCCATGGGCGAAAGCCCGGCCACCAGGCGCTCGCTCACGGGCCCCAACCCCAGGCCTGGCTCCAGGGTGGGACCCCGGTAACCCTCCGGGCCGGGTACTCCGACTCTTCGTTTTAACCGCCATGAAAGATCCTTCGAATTATAATCAGAAGTGATAAATAAAAATTTTTTTCAGTGTTCTACAACTTTAAAGGTGCATTATGTAAGAATGAAGAATGCATTTTCCAAAGAACTTTATAACTGATGTTCCGTGAATTTCATGGCTGTTGCCAACTACAGACCAGCAACAGAAGATTTTAGATGATGATAAATACATTTTACTGTAAGAGTTCCCTGCTGAAAAAAAAAAAAAAACACCCAGCATCCAATTAACAATAATTTTGCCAAAGCAAAATTGATGGTCTAGGATAATACTACTGGATCCTCGCAGTCCCAGCCAGTATTGTGGCTGGCCAATCACAGCATGTTTATTTAGAAAAGCAATGTATTATTGAAAGTTTTTTGTTTGATGTAGTTCTTCCACGATGTAATGGAGGACTGCCCCATTGACTGACATCCGTAGCGGTCAAATCATAGCGCTCTCTTGGCTTGGTGGTCCAATCCCTGCACTCTATTAGCCAGATAGGCAGGATGGTACTGTGACTTTACGAAACCAAGATGGCCACGGCTCCGTAGCGGCCCAATTATTGGTTTGTTTTATTGGTTTGGTAGGCCAATCACAGCACTCTGTTGGTAGGCAGGATGTAACTGATTCAAAGGTGGGATGGCTTGTTTAAAACAGCTTTGGCATCAATTTTGACCTTCTTTGACAAAGTAAGGCAGACTCCATCATTGACATCTGTAGCGGTATGTCACATTGTTGGTTATTCAATAGCATGCAGAGACAGTTTGAAAGACAAACGTCCCCCCCCCCCCCAATAAAAATAGATTGTTGCTATTCAAGTTCTTACACAATAATGACCATATCTGGTGCGAGTGTGTCAAATCAAAATAGATAACTTTTATTTATGTCGAATGCATTGACAAGACACTTTGATACAAACGGGTAACAGACTTTTTATTATGGAGGGGAAAAAAAGGACTGAGTTTTAACATCTTATTTCTTAATTCTCTAATGAAACGACGCACGGCACTGGGACTGGCCAAGAGTCTGTTTGTATTTATTGGAAAATTAATTTCATTGGGGAAAAAAAATAAATGATGAAAATATAGTGTTATAGAGGTTGGATCAAACACAGCCCTAATGCAGAATTTCAGAGAATATCACTTTGTCGGATATTAAGCACAGATTACGTAAGTTGCTTTTTTCTTTTAAACAAAAAAGGTGCAAACTTCCTTAATGAGCCCCCCTCCCAAAAAAAGACCAATGAATCCTTCACTGCAAAAAAGTTTGAATGTGAATTTTACCTCAACAAGGCACTGAGTTAGTCCTGCAGGGACCAAAAACAGGACAAGACATTACAAATTTACAAAAGCATCAACAGTTTGAGCTTAAGGCAGTAGGAGACAACAGATGCAGGGTGAAGACGCATTAAAGCAAACAAGTTCAGTTAGTTGGAAGCTTTAAAACTTGTTTTTGCTTATAGAAAATGGGGAAAATTCCAGAGTTTTAAACAAAACAAAGCTTTTTTTTTACTCTTTCATATGCATTTGAGGACACGTTCTGAAAACCTTTGATCTGCTCAAAACAATTGCTAATCAAAGTTTAAGGAATACATTTATTTAGACATTTTAAAATGACTTAAACGGTGAACTCCTTTTCATTTTGGTTTCATTAGTCGAGAAAAAGGGTTAAGAGAAAATTAACAGTACGGTCTTGGAAGGGGTAAATATAAAATATATATATATATATAAATGCACTAAAAGCAGCATCTATTATACAAAAAACCATAACTGAAAGAAAATTTGACCAATTAATATTTAAGTTTTTTTAAAATAAAATCTTCCCCTCACTGAATTACTAAAGGAAAACATTTGCTTGTACCTTTTTCAATTCAACCCTTTTTTCTTCCAAATAAATATAAAAACATTCACACCAACACACAATAAAATCCAATAATTAGAGAAAGCAAAAAACAAAAATAAAAAATCATGTTAGCTTACATAACTTAGGACAACACACCATTTTTATGAACATTAAACATGGACTTTTTTCCCATTTTATAAGTAAAACATCTAATTGCTAATATGCAGTGAAAATATCCACGGGAAAAAAAGCTTCATTTAAAACAGCTGATGATTTGGTGCCGAGACACAAAACACGTTACCTGACAGGTAATTAATTTAAGGCATGAACTAGAATTTTCTGAGCTGATCTGAAGTGCATATATTGAAACATAACAAGGGCGTTCCTGTTCTGAAATCCTTTGGCGAGTCTTAATCCTTCTTAAAGGCGACACTCGCTCCATTAAACTCACCAATCTGAGTTTTATTCTTTTTCACGCGAGGTTTAAAGCATCTGCTGAACTTTTCTCACTCTGCCAAAGTTTTCAAACACACCTGGAAACACTTACTTTTACAGACAAAACCCATCTAAAGAAATCTCACTAAAACATCATTGAAACAAACGCATTTAAGACTTTGCTCTGCTCCAAACACCTGAGACTACGGCTAAGCGCCTAAAGAACTAATAGTGAACATGATCAGTATTAGTTGTTACCCATAACTGCAGCAGTCTTGAAAAACTTGGTTTATGGTGCAATTTTAGGGACGTCCTCTGGTCTCAGGAAAACCTCTTCTGACATGAGATCAAGTGGCATCAGACAACATGCCATAAAGAAAAGCACATCGGAGGCCATTCCAAAATCCATCAGGCGTCTGACTCAACAGCCAGAAAACAACGTCTCAGGACAAACTTCGTCAGACAAAACATGCTGAGGGAAACCGCCATCAGATGAAATGGACTCAAACGTCATCAGAAAAAAAGAGACTCAGGAAAACCGTCATCAGACAAAACATTGTCCGACAAAACGGACTCAGGAAAGCTGTCATCAGACAAAACATTTTCCGACAAAACGGACTCAGGAAAACAGTCATCAGACAAAATATTGTCCGACAAAACGGACTCAGGAAAGCTGTCATCAGACAAAACATTGTCCGACAAAACGGACTCAGGAAAGCTGTCATCAGACAAAACATTTTCCGACAAAACGGACTCTGGAAAACTGTCATCAGACAAAACATTGTCTGACAAAACAAACTGAGGAAAACAGTCATCAATCAAGCAAAAACACCATCCAACAAAAAAAGAGAAATGTCCTCAGTCAAAAATTACTCAGGAGAAAGGCCATTAGAATAGTCTGACTTGGGCAAACCACCGCCGCCACACGAGTCTCAGGAGAATCTTACTCCAGAGTTCAAGTGAAAAAGGCTCAGGACAAAAGCTGTCAGACTAAAAGAATTTTAAAAAAATTACTGACTCAGGAAAATTGCGTACGACAAAACAGACTCAAGAGAAAAGCAGCCAAATAAACAGACGTAGAAGTGACTTAAACAAAAACATCCTGCAGGTGGCGCCATTGTCAGTTCACAGCCAAATTGTTGAAACAAGGCATCAATGTGCCACAATGGCAGAACGCAAGTTTCTAGCTAAACTACAGTCGTTTTAATTACTTCTCCCTGTACGTTTGCTACAGATGTATCAAGTTGCGGGAAGGTCGTGGAAGTGACACAATGATAAGTATCAGGAACCTGAAACTGACGTCCGCGCTTAGTAAACAATTTGGCCGCGACTTTTCTTTTCCTCTGTTCTTGTTCGTTTCCACTGCCTGTTGTGATGTTTGGTAGCAAACGCAGCCATTTAAATGAAGAAGAAAAAAATTTGCTGCCACCTGCAGGATGCTTTACGGAGGCGGTCCTTTTCATCTGATGAAATTTTTCCTAAGTCTGTTGTGTCCGACAACGTTTTTCCAGCATCCGACTCATCTGACGATATTTTTCCGAAGTCAGTATAGGCTGGCAGCGTTTTTCCGAAGTCTGTTTTGCTTAACGGCATCTCTACAAAGTCTGCTTCACCCGACAGCAGGATAATTTCCTCTGGCGATATTTCGTCTGAATGCGGTTTTCCTTGAGAGCTTTTCCCCCCCGACATCGTTTAATCAAGCATCGGGGGTTTTAAATGAACCCTGATGCTTTTTTTTCTCCTCCATTTTCTGAGGTCTGATGCAGTTTGATCCGATGTCTGAGAAAGTTTCTCCAAGACCTGAGGATGTTCTCAAATACACACCATACTGGTTTCCCACACACTGATAAAAGAAAAAAACACACTTCAGATTTTACTTCACATTAACCACGCGGAGGAATCCTAATAAAAAAAAAAAAGAGATTTTAAGCATCTAAAGTATAAATACTTTTACTTTACAGCATTTTACTTTTACTTACTAATTACTGGATGATTAAAAAACAGCCTATAGGCGTTTGACTTGAACCTGGGCCTTTTATGCCAAATTCAAAACAACAAAATTCCTCCAGTTTTTCAGGATTCCAGTGATTATTTTTGCTTTTTACAAGCTTTCTTTTTTTTTTTTTGCTGATGGGAAAATATTTAAGAAGGGTGTGAAACTGCTCCAACATGTTTCTCCTCTGCATAAACCGACAGAACTTTTGGGAGTATTAAATCAGTGTTAAGGAAACCAACCCAAAAGGTTGCGATGCCACACACATGCACACAAACACCTCCACTATCCAAACAACAGGATTGGTACAAAACCTCAAAATAAATTTTATATAAATAATTTAAATAGCTATACTAAAGCTGAATGACGTCTGTCTAATTTTTTAAACAGCCACCTAGTGCTGATAAGTTATGTACAATTAAAGGAAATGGAGATTTCGTAATCGGGGGTATTCGAGGGATAATTTCCCAAAAGCCCACGGTAAAATCATTAAGCTCGTCTGTCCGACGAAACCATGAAATGCAGTCAGCTTCTTGTGGAAACACAAAATGACCTGTGCACAAGCACTTCCTCCTTGGTGTTTCGTTTCAACTATCCCCCAAAACGTGCGACAAGTCGCCAAAGTCACAGTCAAACAGTTCACTGATTCCTTCGTTGTCCTCCAGTCCGAAGTGGTAATCGTGGCTGTGAGGGGGGGACAGGTTGATGAAACTGTCCAACGGAAGAGGAAGACCCTCTCCGTTCAGGAGGTCCGAGGATGAGAGGGGCGAGAGATCAAAGTCCCCGATGTCTCCGAGGGAGAACGGGTCTCCACCAAGGAGAAATTCTGTCAAAAGAAAAATGACAAATGTTTAGGCGGAGTGGCTTTGCCCTTTATTTTACCTCACACAGTAATGTAGACGAGCTGGTTATTTCTGCAAAAACATACAACGCCACAAGAACGTGTTTTATTTTAAATCTCTGAATGCATCGGGTCATTGGTGCCAAACAACCTAATCTTTTAACAACACAGTTCAAATGTGTCAAATTCCACTTTAGATGGCGAGGATCATCAAGGAAGTTTGTTTGTCGTGTTTATGCCAAATAAAAACCGATCCCAAAGCCTTGGTTTCATTCCTTATTTCTTCCTCCTCCAACAACCCCTTCACCCTGCAACTACGGCAAGCATCAAGGACAAAAAACATCAATAACAGCACACGCTGGATGGCCAATTTCTAACGGAAAATGCTTTTTCTCGACTTCAGTGAAGAAAATTGCGATAAATGAGATTAGCAATTAGCGACAAAACCTACATAAAAAAGCAACCACTGGACCATCCAGTTGTTGGGTCCCACCAAACCGCCGCATTACCTGGGTCCTCCATTTAATATGCACTCGCGTATTTAGCAACAGAACACCGCTGGTGTGAGAGAATCTCCTCTCAGTAACATCAGAGAAGGAGAAACAGCCGGCTGCTACCTCTTCAACAAGCTACCGGAGTCCCAAAAAGAAAAACGCCATTTGAAGTCACAGAAAACCAAAAACGTTTGGACGTAGAAAACTGTTGTTTGGTATTCAATCAACCAACTTTATTTATATCCGGGGGTGCACATAATAATTTTGGGTTGGTACTCAGGGGAGAACCTATGGTTGTTGCTTGGTTCTCACATTTTTTAATGCACCTCATTCTTAACCCACAATAGGAACACAACAGAGTAACGCGTTGACGATGCAACATATTTTAATTTTGACTGAAAACAACAAGTACAACAGGTACACATCGCCAGCTTAACTTAAACCTTCTAATTTTTAAACAACATGACTGAATTGTCTGAATGTAGAACACAACGTGTAAACATCTGCTTTTGTGATAACAACAAATAAAATAAATTAAAAAGTACTTTAAAAAAAATTACTATTTCAGAGCACTGAAGTTTTTAAAATGGCATAAATACCGTTTTTATTTCTACACTCTCATCATCATCATCCTCATCCTCACTATCCTGACTGGCTTCCTCCGGTTCACACACAGCAGAGGACAACTTTCTGATGTTCTCTGCTGTTAGCATGTTTATCAAACGCTGGATGAATGAAGATTTTAGTGCCTATGTGAAAGGAGCTGTTTATGTCTGCCAGGGTGGGATTTTCACGGCGTAATCTGCACCACATCTCTGTACGTTCATCGTTTGTTTGAAGCCAGCCGACCTCCTGCAGCCAGTTCTCCGTGAATACTCTTTTCTTTTGCGGTTCCGAGTCAGTCTGATGTTTTTTTTGGAGGCGGAGGAACGCCAAAATAATTACTTAATGGAGCTTGCTTCTTGGACATCTTTAAAATGCTCCAGAAATGTCTTCCTTACTCCACAAAATCTTAGGTGTGCAAATGCGTGCTGCCGCTTTCTCAGGTGCGCGTTGTTTATTTTGACAGCGCATGCGCACCTGCGGACCACTTATGTGCACACCTGTTCATACGGAGCCTTCACATGGCCCAAGGGCCAAACAAAAATGACATAAAAGAGTAAAAACATTTAAAAGCATTTAAAAGATCAGACAAAATCCAGGTGGGACTGCACAAGAATGCGACAACCTCCCATTGACAACACTCCTCCTCAGTAAAAGCTATTGAATAAAAGTGTGTGTTCTGACGTGTGTGTGTTTGTTAGCAGCCCCGCCCTCATGTGATTCATTTTCATGCTGGATGCTGTTGAGTAAACATCGGCAGCACGAAGCTCACGCTCAACGGAAACGGGACAAGAGAGAGAGCCGTCTCTTGGTCAGCTTGCTTCTCACACCAAACCTTCTGTCAGGAATCTTGGCGTGACCTTTGACCCAGCTCTCACCCTGGATTCTCATGTCAGTTCTCTTGTTTGCTCTTCCTTTTTCCATCTCAGGAACATTGCTAAGCTGAGTCCCATTCTGTCTCGCTCTGAACTTGAGACAGTTATCCACACCTTCATTTCCTCATGCTTAGACTACTGTAACTCTCTTTTCACGTGTCTGAGCAGAACCTCCCTGAACCGTCTACAGGTGGTTCAGAATGCCTGTGCTCGGCTTCTGACCAAGTCCTCCAAACACACCCACATCACCCCGCTTCTCCTCCAGCTTCACTGGCTGCCAGTCAACTTCAGGGTTCATTTCAAGATCCTGGTTCTGGTCTATAGGGCCTTACATGGACAAGCACCATCTTACATTGGTGATCTTCTTAGTGCCTACACCCCCAGCAGGTCCCTGAGGTCCAGTGATCAAAGCCTACTGGTTGTGCAGCACCAGGCTAAAGGTCAAAGGTGACAGATCATTTGCTGCTGTGGCCCCCAGACTCTGGAACTCTCTCCCCCTGAGCCTGAGATCAGTGGACTCAGTGGTCTCCTTTAAAAAGCAGCTGAAGACTCACTTGTTCAAGCTGGCTTTTGTATGACCTTCTTCACCTCTCTCTCTTTATTCTGCTCTCCCCACCTATTCCACCTTCCTCAGGATCCACTGATTTCCCTCTTTCCTGTTCACTCTCTCTCTTTCTTAACATTTTTTAATCACAATTGTCTACTTTTGCTTATTTTAAATATATTTTTAATCAATTTCTAAATGTTTTTTTATATTTTTACATTTTTTGTTTTTGTGAAGCGCCTCGTGATTTTTATCTTGAGAGACGCTATAGAAATAATATTTTCTTCTTTTTCTTCTTCTGTGCGTGTGTGGCCCTGTCCTCGCTCCAGCAACCCGGTGTCGGTACAAGATCGGCTCGGGGTCCGTCGACTGCCGATGACGTCAAAGTACGGCAAACCCACTCGGACAAAACACACTACACATCTATACGGTTGGAAAGAATTTAGCAGTTTCGTTATTAAAATAATGTTTCTTACAACGTAAGTTTGTGTTTATAATGGTATTTGTAAAATAAAACACTATATTGTATTCATAATGTTGAACTCCTCTTTGAGCACATCCCTTGAAGGACCATAGGTATTAGCAACACCTGTGAAATTGTATTTGCAGGAAAGAAGTGTGTCCCGTTTATTGAAGTATTTTGTGTTTAGAGTTTTTGACGTCTTGTCCATGAGTAGTTCAGTTACGCTCACAGCTGCTAGCCAAAACTCGAGTTAAAAGTTTTCTGGCTTTACTAAAATACCTGTCTGTACTTATTTGATTGATGGTATTTTTACTTTCTATTAGACTCCAAATGTAATCATTTGGCACGTTTCTAATTCATAATTTGTAAGAATGTAATCGGTGATATTAGCATTAGCATTCCTATGGGTTTTTCCATGTATATTAGCATTGCGCTAACCACTCGCTGCCAAATTGCAGCCTTTGAGATTAGAAAATCTCCTTTTGTCACATCGCAATTTAATTGCACATGCAGTTAATCATTCAGCCCTAATATACTTGCATCTCTATGCTAAAAGTGTATTTTCAAAGAGGTAATGATGGATTTCTTTGTAAAAGTTGTCCATCTTTCCAATAGAAAGATTTGCCTGGACCAACGTAACGTGATAACAACGTAACGTGATTACGTAATTCCATAAGGTTCATGTTCAGCCAATCAACTACTTAGACGTCATCAGCAGTTGACGGACCCCGAACCAATTTTGCACCCGAGCAGATCTTGTACCGACACACAGCTGCTCAGTGGGAGGAGAAAGCTCGTCCGTCCGTCCGTCCGTCCGTCTGTCTGTCTGTCTGTCTGTGTGTGTGTGTGTGTGTGTGTGTGTGTGTGTGTCCCACAGGAGCAGAGAACAGTTTTATGAGAACACACAGCAAATGAATAAAATGACGTGGTTCAGACCTCAAAAACAACACAACTCATGCCCTCCTCTGTTCATCTTATTATGGATCCCGGACTTTCCCGCACGTCTTGAACACCGCCCGTGAACTCGGGGATTTCTGCATTTCTGAGAACACTACGTGAACACTCCCCGACCGTACGGCCCTTAATGTGTAAGTGTCATTAGGGAAAATACCCGAGGGAAGGGGTCAGTGTTCCGTCACCGCCTAGCTTGTTCTCTTAATTCGCTAAAGCAGCTTTAATCTGACGGAGACTTTTTATGTTTTCAAAGGATTGTTATGTTGGACTGTGGATGAAAGACTCGTGAACAAACCATCTTATTGGAGGACTTTTATTAGACCCTCAACCTTGCTGCACAGAACCAATAATGGTTTTTCCATGAAGGCTGCGAGGTGGAGCAGTGGTTAGAGCTGTTGCCTTGCAGCGAGAAGGTCCTGGGTTCGCTTCCCGGCCTGGGGTCTTTCTGCATGGAGTTTGCATGTTCTCCCTGTGCATGCGTGGGTTCTCTCCGGGTGCTCCGGCTTCCTCCCACAGTCCAATTGGTCTGTCTAAATTGTCCTTAGGTGTGAGTGTGTGTGATTGTTTGTCCTGTGTGTCTCTGTGTTGTCCTGCCATGGACTGGCTCTCTGTCAGGGGTGTACCCCGCCTGATTGCCCATTGACTGCCCCCCCCCCCCCCCCCCCCACACACACACACACACAACCCTGTGAGGACAAAGCGGGTTCAGAAAATGGATGGATGAATTTTTCCATGAGAAAAACAGACTCTGCACAGATTTCTACGGATTCTTGCTTCCCCAGCTGTTATATATAATGGTCACTTGTCTTGCCTAACCAGTGGAGTCAGAAAGAAGGACGAACAGGACTTAAATGTTCTAGTTACCCACCCGTGTCGCCACCTACGCCCAGCGATGAAGCTTCCTGCTGGGATGTAGCCGTTACTGTGGACGAAGTGGAAGCCGGCGATGACGCCACCACATCTTGGGCTGTTGTGCACGTTCTGGACTGCTCTGCGGTGTGCGATGGAGACGGCACTCGGGATGACTCTGGGTTGGTTTTCAAGGGACTGCTTCCTGTCACAGGGCTGCAGACGCCAGAGCTGTCCTCTGGACAGAGGAAGACGTCAATCGGGCCCTGCGTGCTCTTGAGCGACACCTCGTAACCCTGAGAGGCAGACACGCCGCGTTGTCAGGACAAAACCACACAAACTGAAACGTTACAGGTGCTTAAAAAAAGGGTTCAATTATATGATTGAGGCCTTCACCTGGCTGGGTTCTGAAACTTGCATCTGGGTTTCTGGTGGAGCTCGGATCACCATGACCAGCTGGTCCGGCGAGTCGAACGATTTCCTCAGGTCCTGGCAGCGCACGTAACCCAGCGTGAAGATAGAAGTTAAGGGAGAAGATGTTCAAGCCACACGTTGCTTTACTCACTAGCGGTGCTGGATTAGAGGTTTAATGTGAGGACTAATGTAAATGAATCAACATCTGCAGCCCGCGGTCCAACTGGGCGCCGCCGAAGCTACAGACCAGAGCTCACCGCTGCAGCTGCAGCCAGGGGACCCGGTTCTGGTTCAAGGATATTTCTTGTTCTGTGGGTCCTCTGTGAGCAGCCTGAGCTGCAGGGTGCATTTGGAAATGAGCTCATCCAGCTGCTCCTCGGCCTCCGTAAGGTCACACACCTCCCCCTGCAGCCGTTTGTGCCGGGAAACCAGGTTGGCGTCGATCCGATTGCCGCTGCCAGGGGAAAAAAGGCGAGGACCCTTGTTAAACGTTTGTTCCAACAGACACAACGAGGTTTTCATCCTTGCCGTAAGACGGCTTTATGCTCACAGCCACTGGATGTTGTTCTTGGACTTCTTGGAGATGAGCTGGATTCCCTCCAGGACGTTTGTGATGTCATAGATGCGCCGTTTCTGGACGTCCAGAACCTGCGAAGCCCAGTTCAGATCCACCACGCCGTCGGCCGACTGAGATAGCAGGTTCAGAAAGCGCTTGGTGGTCAGGTTTAAGGACGTGTCGTAACGCGACTTCTCTGATGCGTTTCGAGGAACTAAGTAGAAAAAAATAACACATTTAGGCTCCTACGTGTGCGGGCTCGTTTAGATGCAAGACGACTTCAACAGATCCGACGTCCAGTTTCACCAAAAACAGGTCGCTTTGCAGGATTGTTGCTGCACGGCGAGCTTTCTGCTCACAACAGCAGAACGGTTTGCAGAAATATAAACAGAACAGGAGTCCTCATCCTGCTTACACCTGTACGGATAAAGATGCAGCAAGTCTCTGCTTTTGCTCTAGTGCTAACAGGCTGCACAGAGGTCAACATTACAGGCAAGCTGAAGGAGGAACAGCGCCTCACTCTTCAGAACAGGAAGATTGTTGCCTCATCCTGTTTGATCTGAAGGAAACAGACGATGAAAACACCCAACTGGAATAAAAACTGAGCAGAAATGTGACTTTCTCCTTTTATATCATGTGGTTTAAAATTTACATCTAACACACTTCCTACTTCCTTAAAGGGACATTATGGAAGTTTGACAGCCAAAACATGTATAGAAATAATAAATGTCTTCTTCATACATTCTCCTGCAATGCCCTGGTCCTGTAGAATGAGCCCTGGCATTTTTACTGTGATTGCCTGTTTTTCTGTAAAATCACAGAAAAAGAGAGCTGCTCGGGTCGAGCAGGCTGCTTCATGCGCGTTCACGCTCAGGCATCGCCCGTAGCATTTGCTATCCGTAGCTTTAGCAGCAGAGAGAGAGGTAGTGCCACTTTGTCGCTGTTCCTAACGCCTAGTGACAAAGCTAGCTACATTTCTGAGGACCCTTAGCTACTTTCTGTAGAACTTTCTTCTAGATATTTCCTGCAAATTAGCAACAAAATAGCCATTTTCACTCCGAACCGTTCTTTGGTTTGACGTTGTTTCAGCTGTCATCAAGGATATAAATGTTACAGATACAAAAGACGTCACTGGCGCTTTAGCTCACCTAGTAAGACGTCTGACTCTCGTGCAGAAGACCTGGGTTTGATTCTGGATGTGAACATAGTATAATTAGAGTTTACTTTTTACATTAATGGTATATTTTTTACAGTAAGATGCCCAAATTTTTATTTGAGACTCGCCGAACGGCATTTGAAGTCACAGAAAACCAAAAACGTTTCATTTTGGAACAATTTTTCAAGCAAGGGAAGGGAATGATCTGAGCATGCAGGAGGACTGACCCATCATAAACCTTTGTCGGCTGTGCTGAAGAGAAAGGTACAGAACCAAATTATTTAATTAATTAGCTGCGCGTTCTCCTGTCCTCTGTCCTCCGGGCTACACACACACACACGGGACTGTCTCAGCTGTTACTTTCGTTAAGGAGTGTGCACGTACAGCATGCGCGCCTCGTGCACGAGCCTACTATTAAAGCTGCTGTTACGTTTTTGGCCTGAGGGGGCAATCATGAGCATAAAAATTCACAAGTCCGTAAAGTCCCTTTAAGGCTCGTCGTCGCTGTACTTTACTTTCATTCTAAAGAAAAGCACAGTTCCTTAAATTTGAAAAATCCACTATACTAAAACTCAAAAGTGCGTTTGTGGGTGCATACCTCTGGGAGGAGCAGGCGTAGAAGGCGGAGCTTGACCCGTGGGAGGTTGGGTGGTGCTGATGTACTGATGGTCACTATCCAGGTCCAACTTCCTCTTTACCTGAAGATGGAAGCATGGAATACGTTATATTTGTGTGTTACCTAAAGGTGCACGGAGTCAGAACGACATCCTGTGGTCAAATCTGGGTACTGCAGTCCGTGAATCAAAACAAACGAGTCTGTTCTGAGCCACTGTTGCCAGTTACGGCACAGCACCAGAAGATTCTAGATGACGAGCAAAGACGAGTCATACGCGGTAATTTGACGAGTAGATAAATATATTTTGCTGTAATATCGAAGTTTGCTTGTAATCCACCGTTAGCATTGTTAGCTCAATGTTAGCCTCTGTATTAAGAACACAACAAAAAGAGGCCGTGGCTTCTTCTGGGTTACATGAAATAACTTAGCTCTTTTTACTGACTTCCATTTTGTTCCACAACGCCGCAGCATCATGCCGGCCGATGTCAAATTACAAATGTCGGTGCAGACTTGGCAAACCTGCGGGCACGTATGATTGGCTCTGGAACCAGGAAGTACTGAATTGGGACAGATTGTAAACAAAGACTACCTTCCTCTTTGGTTTTTAAGTTAAACTAGGAAACCCGACGACCCCATGGCCGGCTGAGACGGAAATCTGTTTTTAATGTAACCGTTCTTCCAATACCACTCAGATGTTAGACTGTTATGGGATTATTTCACAGTAAAATTATTGTTGCACCTTGAAGAAAATGCTTAAAAAGCAAAATATGACATGAAACTTCTCATTTAACCTCATCTCACTCCCACTCTCCTCACCGGAGGTCTTCCCAGAGCTGGCCGCCTCTTGTCCTGGGCCCCCACGTCAGCGGGCCCCTGTGGCGTGGCGAACAGCAGGATTTCCCCTGTGCTGGTTGGGGCTGCAACAGGGTGGAGTCCCTCATTGCTGGGGCTGGTGATGATGACTACCTGATGGTCCTCGCCCAGTTTTATACTCCCAGAGTTCAGCAAGGTCTCAAAGTCAACCAACAGATCCTCCGATGTCTGCCCTGTTATCAGAGTCTCTGACATTGCACTGGGTCACCAAGTGCTCCTTCACTAGTCTGTGGGTGTGCTGGGAGGGGTCACAGGCTAAGATGGTGTACTCTAAAAGCACATCAGCACCTGCTGACATTTGTAGTTCTCTGTAAATTCGTGGAGCAGGAGTAAAAAATGCTCAAACGTCCCAAATTGGAACAAGTTGTTTCCCTCACAGACAAACATTTATTACAGTTTAACTCAAAGAGTGATAAATAAACAGAACTTGCCAAATCAACTTCAGACCGAACGGAGAAACTGGATGTTCTGCCAAACAGGAAAATGACAGATCATTGCTAAATTGCATAATATCTCTACGCCATGAGGGTCTAACGCGGGATTAGCACCTAAAACAGGGTCGCGAGACCCTGCCGCGGGTCTGAATAAACGCTAAACATAAGGACGCCAGCGACGGAGCGAGCAAATCTTTTGTTTTCGTGCCTCCTGTCAGCAGAGTTCGGCCGCGGCCTGAACACACAGCTACCGACACGGCTAGCAGGCTAACTCATGGCTCAACAACAAAGCCTCGGACAAGTTCTCGAAGGAGGCGCGGAACGAGCCGTTCCCAGCTGTAAAACTACCACAATCACCAAACATCCGAAACTGGGACAACGGTTAAGCTACGGAAACTTTAAATCAGCTTTTCAAAGTTAGCTAACAAAGCAAAATACAGAGAAGTCGAACGGCATCGCCGTGACTCAAAAGCATCATTGATTGGGTATTTATGAAAACGTCTGGCTAACAAAGACCTTATGACAGTTACTAAGTTGAGTGTGGAAATGTAGGGCAGATTAGCATGTTAGCTTTAGTCATTAGCCGCAGTTCTTCAGTCCCCTCGTTTTGTTGGGGCACTGCAGGAAGCAGTCAGACAAAACTGGAATTAAAAAAACGAAACAAAACGGTCAAAGTACAAACGCATGCTTTAAAACCGCCGCCGATGCACTTTCAGCTGCTCACCAGGGCTGCGGTTCTCTCATGAAAGTGTCCACCCGAGCCCGATATCAGCCGTTATTGTTGTTATTGTCCCAGCTGATCTACATCTAAACAAGCGTTGGTCGGTTTTCGCGCGAAATCCATTTTGCCGCGAAAGCTGCACGTGGGGAAATCTGACGCTCGCCATTGGCCAAAAAGATGCACATTCTTCGAAGAGAAACCGGAGCTTTCTGATTGGTGTAAAAGAGTGTCCGTCATGTAGACGAGCACAGACTAGTCGATATGAAGATGCGTTCAGGTTCCACGGAAGAACCTCAACTAACTAGCGTTTACAATCATTTCGCTTAGATCAAAATCAACATATCAATGATACATTGATCTGATGTCACATATTAAACATTTAATAACATATATTAGTTATTGAAAAGCCGTGACCGAACTTACAAATTAAAGTCCTTACGTGACTTGTATTTTATTTTGCATGCTATTTAAAACATTTGATGTTTTAGCTATTTTGTTTTAAGACTGTCAGGAATGTCCACATCATATTATAAACAGTTTATGCAGCTCTCTATTGAACAGTATATTTTTTCAAACACGAATTATTCGTAAAAATCTCGTCGAATTTACAGAATAGAAACGTCCTTTAGGTAGCAGCCCTTGCTAATCGAGCGCCTATCTCTCAGAAATCTGCAAGATGGCGCAGGCAATATTCGAGGTGCTTGAAGGTAGCAATATTTTTGTTAACTACATAGCTACCAACATGTTTACATGTCAGAAAATATTTTTTATAGATAAACATGTTTAGAGCCATTTTAAAATGTGGAAATAATTGTGAAACTATGCATAGGTGTTTACTAATGTTACAAAAATCAAACCACCCTGCTAGGTTGGTATGTACTTGTAAACAATAACGGTGATTAATTACACTACGTATGTTTAATAGGTAGTTGATTATTATTGTGCTACTAGATTATCAAGCAGAGCTTTTAAATGTAAACACGTGCATTGTTTCCTCCCCCTCTGTTGTTTCACTCTCTAGGCATGGACAACCAGACTGTGTTGGCTGTTCAGTCTCTGCTTGATGGCCAGTCTGGAGTTCCTGACCCAAATAATCAAAATGTGTCAACCACGCCCACTATTCAGTCTATGGGTAAGCAGTAGCACGCACTAGCATATAAGTTAGGCTGTCATTGCTTTCTTTTATAATTTATTTAGGGCAAGGTGCATTTGGCTGTTGGTTAAAATAAAAATAATGACAACAACCACTTTAATAATAATAATAATAATAATAATAATAATAATAATAATAATAATAATAATACAATTCGAGGTTCCTTTTTAATACAAGAAAAAGGGGAAATAGCAAAGGTAAAAAAAACGTAATAAAAGCAGGGACAAAAATGCAGCTGGACACAAAATGGATTTTTTAAAAGATGAGCTTTTAAAAATGATTGAAGAGTAGAAACGGGTCGATGATGCCCATTTCATGAGGAAGAAAATCAGAGGGGAGCATGGAAAGGTAGAACTGGATGTCGTCTTTGTAGCAGAGGAAATCGATATTAAAGCAACACGTTCCTGCTTCTGCTTCCTACTGGTTGAAATGGTAAATGGTAAAATGGCCTGTATTTGATATAGCGCCTTCTAGAGTCCTGGAACCCCCCACAAGGTGCTTTACAACACAATCAGTCATTCACCCATTCACACACACATTCACACACTGGTGGGGATGAGCTACAATGTAGCCACAGCTGCCCTGGGGCGCACTGACAGAAGTGAGGCTGCCGAGCACTGGCGCCACCGGTCCCTCCGACCTCCACCAGCAGGCAACGCGGGTTAAGTGTCTTGCCCAAGGACACGACAGCGACAGACTGAGCGGGGCTTTAACCTGCAACCTTCTGATTATGGGGCGAGCACTTAACTCCTGTGCCACCGTCGCCCACAGGTGAAAGCAGAATTACAACTGTTGTCTGCAACCCTGCCACAACCTGCTTTAGCTAACGCTAACATAAGCCAAGATTCACAGTGTTGGATAAAAAACATTATTACATAGTCCAGTAGCAACAAAGCCAGGTCACCGTCAGTCCGTGATTTCATAGCCACTTTTAGCTCCCTCACACAAGTGCAGGCAGCGCCGACGTTCACTCCGGGTTTAGCTCTTTGCTTCAACTACAAAGACGTTACCATCGTACTTTTACTTCCGGGTTCCACCGTGATGTCAACACAAAAGGGGAAATTCTTCTTCGTGTGCATTTTATTGACGGTCGGTGAAATGAAAAAGCTAACTTGATTGCCTTAATGTTAGCTACGGGCTCAGTAAACAGCTGTTTCCATAAAGCAAGTAGAGAGCTCTCACTAGTGTTCCTACCCGAACCACAGAACTGCAGTCAGTGGTCAGCTGAGTGCTGTCCCATGTGAAGTTGCTCAAGTTTCTGGCTCAAGAACCAGTAAAACCAGTTTGAAAGAAATAGCTTAAAGTGTTAAGTCTAGTTAGTTTTGCAGTGAGGACATAAATGTGAAATAGAAGGAGCCCCAGGACAGAACCTTGGGGAACACCGACTTGGTGTTTTAGTGAGTCGTGTAGTTTGAAGCCTATTCAGCCTAACGGTGTGACTGCTGTGTCGTTCTCTCGTTTATGGAATATGCATTGAACCTCGACAAGCAGACGATGAAGACGTTTTCCTGTGTGGCAAATGTAAGAAGCAGTTTAACTCGCTACCGGCCTTCATGACTCACAAGAGGGACCAGTGTCAGTCTGGTGCCCCCTCGCTGTCCACGGTGTCTCTGGCCTCTACGAACGCTTATGCGCCGGTCCCGTCCATCAGCTCCGTCCCACAGACTCCAGCCAACAGACAGGTGAGACACGAACGAACGGCTGTTTATGATGAATCAGCTCTACATTCCTCTCTGTTCATCAGGTGTCCACCTACATCGCCGTGCCTCCTTCACCTTTGACACACACGCTGGTGCAAGGCAACGTGCTAGTCAGTGACGACGTTCTCATGTCAGCCATTTCAGCCTTTACCTCTATCGAACAGCCCATGGCCACCATGCAGGCACCTTTACAGGTAACCCTGCAAAACGTCCTTTTTGTCCTCTGGATATAAAATCAGTCACTTTTCCTTCTGGTTCTCGTCTTTACTGCAGAGTAACCTGAGCATGCACACAGCTGGAGTATCCTACCTTCAGCACCATCACCATCATCATCATCAGCAGCAGCAGCAGCAGCACCAACAGTCCTCCCACCCCCTCCCAGCTGGACAACCCCCCCAACAGTCACTCTCATCCCAGGTCCCAGCGAGCCACAGCAACTCCGTGGTGCAGGTCTACAGCGCCATGCCCCACATGGCAGGGGCCGGTGGGGGTGCAGCAGAGATCCACGCCCTAGGACTGCAGGCCTTCCATCATCCTGTTCAGGTGAGCGAACCAGCTCTTCCATCTCCATCGTGGCAGCAGGAAGAGCCTTAGAAACGTTCCTGTTCTGATCCCAGGCCCCGGGTCAGTGTGTGGACAGCCAGTCCTTCAGCAGCACTCCCGTGTACAGTCCTGGGAAGCAGGCCACCAAAACAAAGAGCTGCAGCAACAACCTGACAGAGCTGGGCGACTTCGAGAAGGTCATCATTCCCAAACAGCCCCGGAGTAGCAAGAAGAGCTCCAGTGGAGCCGCAGGTGAGAGAAAAGAAACGTTTAAGTTCGGCTTTGGGTTTAAACTGCAGTGGGAGATGTTTACGTCAAACATTCTTTTTCCACCATGCTAGAAATTCTCTTTAGATACGAATATGAATTCCTCTCAACCCTTAAAATCATCCAAGTCTGCAGCTTTTAGTCACGAGCTGATTTGATCTTCTCAGCAGAGCAGCTGAAGGGGAAAGGTTCGAAGCTGGAGTGTAATTTCTGCGACAAGATCTTCTCCAAGAACTTTGATCTCCAGCAGCACATCAGGAGGCAAGTGGTCTGTCGGCATCCATAAAACAAACGTCCGTAAATCCATCAGAATTATATCAGCAGTGATTGATTTCTGCAGCCACACGGGAGAGAAACCCTTCCAGTGCATCGTCTGCGGACGAGCCTTCGCCCAGAAATCCAATGTGAAGAAACACATGCAGACTCACAAGGTTGCTTTTCCCAATTTTTGGGGAAATTTATTCAATTCTTCCATTCCCAAAACCAAAGATGCATGTTTTTATTAGAAGGAGTTACGCCGCAGTGCTGCTTTGGCTCAGAGGTGAATGAAATTTAACGCTAAGACGTTTGTAACCTTGAAGGTGTGGCCGATGAGCGTGGCCAGCTCGGTGTCCCGACTGCCGGTTACGGTGAAGGTGGTCCCGGCGTCGGCGGGGGAAGAGGGACGGGGAGGCGAGCAGCAGAAGGGAGGCGACACGGACGAGGACGGGTCACAGCACCAAACGGGACAAGAACAGGAGTCGGAGCAAGCAGGTGATGAAAAGGAAAGTGGATTCTTAAACGAGAGATTTCCAGCTTTCAAATTAAACTCAAACGCGTGACATCAGAGGCACCGCAGGAGTTGGAGGAGAATGTGACCGATGCTCACGCTGGTCCGGCAGAGGAGGAGAGCGGTCGCCCCCATGTCCAGATCCAGGCGCTGTCCAACCAGAACCAACAGACGGTAGTGATAGACAACACCTACCGGTGCCGGTTCTGCAGCAGCAAGTTCAAGACTTACTTCCAGCTCAAGTCCCACCTGACGCAGCACAAAGGGGAGCAGGTGAGAGCCAGACGGGTCAGGTCCGTCCAGGAAGTAGCACTGTTGCAGCTGACGCTTGTAAATTCAGCATTTGTGACCAGTTACTGCTACGTTCACTGAAGTTTGACCAACACGCTTCGTCTCTGGGAGATCAAAACACGTCTGCTGTGATTCGGTTTTCCTGTGACGGCACATTAGGGTCGCTCTTTCTGCCGGACGCGTAAGACACGTTAACTACGCCTAGTTTGAGCAATAAAAACACGCTTTTTTGCATGATTGTGTAAAGAGTAGGTGCCCGTCTCTCAATGCGACCATGTGACATGAAGATTCCTCAAGGAAAATTTATTTATCACCATTTTTTAAAAGATAGCTGGAAATTTAAGCAGGAAAAGTCACTAAATTCTGGAAATCCCAGCAGTCGGAGTGCAGGAGCGTAGTTAGATTGCCTTTCTGCTTCCCTGCAGGTCTATAAATGCGTGTTAAAGTCCTGCTCCCAGACCTTCCAGAAGCTCGATCAGTTCCTCGAACACATCCGGACCCACCAGGAGCAGCTGACGTACCGCTGCCACCTCTGCAGCAAGGTGTTCCCCTCGCTGTTTGAACTGGGGGTCCACCAGTACTCCCACTGCTTCTGCCCACAGCAGAACCCACGCAAGGAGGCAGCCGTCTACAGGTCGGTCCGCCCGAACGCCACAGGAAAGAGGGGGAAGTAGCTTTTCTTCACGCTCGCTTGTGCTTTCCTTCAGGTGTGTGAAGTGTCAGAGCAGATATTCAACTCAGGAAGCTCTGGAACAGCATCTGCTGACGGCTTCACACAGCTTCCCTTGTCCACACTGTCAGAAGGTATGTCAACACCTGACGGTGTCACAGAGAACGCTATATCCCCGATGCGTCTGGGTTTAGAGACATTTTGGCTTTTTCGTTTGGCTCAGTCTGACGTCATTTCCAGGTTTTCCCATGTGAGAGATACTTCAGACGCCACCTCCCCACACACGGAGTCGGAGGGAGGTTCAAATGTCCCGTCTGCAAGAAGGCCTTCAAGACAGAGCACTACCTCAAGCTGCACACCAGGATTCACTCAGGTCTCCGAGCCGCTGGCAGAGTTTCTGGTTCCCAATCCAAATCTGCTTCAACGTGTCCATAATTTCTGTTTGCAGGTGAAAAACCGTTCAAGTGTTCCCTCTGTGAGGCGACGTTCAACAGAAAGGACAAAGTAAAGCGACACATGCTCATCCATGAACCTTTTAAGAAATACAAGTGTCCCTTCAGGTGAGCGATGCACGCTGGCCGTCAACATTAACGTCGACCCCTATCGCCTCCTTTAGCCACATACAGGAAGTAGACGGGAAGAAGACCGAGTCAGAAAAAGCAAGTCTCTTCTACGTCGTCTACTAGGGCTGGGGGTAAACGATTATTTTTAAAACGATTATTCTGACGATTATTTTATCGAATAGTCGACTATTCTAATGACTATTTAGAAAATTAATCTAATGATTATTTTTCTATTGCACAATTAACAAAAACCAGAAAATCTCAAATAAATTCCTCAAAAAAATTGATAAATTCTTACTGTAAGAGAATAAACATTACAGGCCTTCCATTTTGTATAACACTGCTTTTATTGTGTTGCGGTTGGTTATGTTCTGGTGACGTGTAGAACTTGGGAGTGCAGGCTGCTGCCTGAGAGGTGGTAGAAGATGGTGTCTCCATGCTGCTTTGTTTTGGTCACTTATGTGCGTGAGGCGAGTGGTCTTACGGGTTAAACCAAACTCAGGTGATATTTTACACTAAACCGAAAACCCACAACACTCTAAATGTAATAAAAGGGAGATCTACACCACAAAAAAGATGAACTCTAAACCAAAACGTAACAGCTTATCCCAACGCAAGAAGCTGTTAGCGAAGATGCTAACAGTAGCTTTACCAACATTAAGTTCAAGTTACCAAGTTTAAATAAACCAAAAACACCCAGCAGCAAACAGACCAGCACGGAGGAGAGACTGCTACCACCAAAACAGCTCTCCTAATGTCTGAAAGAAGCTCCTTTATGAAGGGAGAAGCGCTCCCGGTGATTTTCTACATCTGCGATAGACACGAAGCAGCGCATCTGACCCCGGAAGTGTTTGTCCGTTGCCGGGAGACGAAGGCGGGTAAAACAGGAAAATAATCTAGTAGTGGACGGACGTTGTTCCGGGTCTTCGGTATTTGGCGGAGATGTTAGTGAAGGCGGAGAAGAGGGCGAACTAGAGGAAAAACAGGCAGATTCCTCCTCTATTTACAAACTCCTGGGGATGCAACAAGTGGGCGCGGTGCGTCGACTTCCGGATCTGACGTCGACAAATTTTTAGAATCGAGCCGTCGACTTCGTCGAGGCTTCGCTACAGCCCTATCGTCTACGTCTTCGTCTTCGTATTAACGGCCCCGCCCACCTCGTTTGCGACAGCAGAAGGCTGTTGTTGATTTTGTGGCCGGGAGAGAGCAGAGTAAAAGCTAACCATTAGCATTAGCTCGTTTCCAGTACCAGACCTTCGCAGTCTGCGTTTGTCTCCATTTCACCGAGCTGGTCTAAAAAAAACCCAAAAAAACCCACTTCTGGGCTATTTCAGGGACGAACCGAGCACCTGAACTGGGGTAGGCACTCGGGTGTTTCTCAGTGTCATGGCGCCTGGCCTTGCGAGGCGGTGTCTTGTGAGGCCGGGCGCCTTGCTTACGAGGACACGGTCCGTCCTTAGTCAAAGAAAACGGTTAAATGGAACAGACTTATGTCATGTGACCGCAGCTTCCACGGCGGTCACGTAACGTCACATGACACGGGAGATAACGTTATATTTTATATGTATTAGTTTCAATATAAATATATAACAAGGCTTTTACTTTTTAGATTGTGTTTATGTTTATTAAATTAAATATATAAGTGAGTTACTACCCGCTAGCCACCGAAGCTGCAGCTACTAAGCAGCTAACCAACCATAGATAACTGCTTTGGATCTAAAAAAACATTTTAAATTAGCTGACTTGCCTTTAAACTTGAAAATTGTCCCTGAAGTAGCTGCCGGCTTCTGATTCGCCGTCTTTTTGCAAATACCGCGGTGTATTCTGGGTAATTTTTGACCAAGGCTAGGCTACAAGACACCTCCCATGTGACCTTGCTCAGCTAGCTAAACGGCTAACAAACGGAGAACACACCTCGGTAGAACATGAACATTGGAACCGATTGGAGCACGTCTTGGCGTCTCCCGATGACATATCTCCTAGGCAACCGAGGCGGGGGCAAGACATCAAGGCAAGGCTCCTTGACATTGAGAAACACTCGGAAATGGCCTGGTGGAGTCCCTGGCCGGGATCTGTGGTCCTTTTAATGCCGATTGGTTGCAACTTCGTAGAAAATTATTTTGGAATAGAAGGAAAAAAATCTGCATTTCTAACCCCCCCCCCCCCCCCCTACAGCGCACCTTAAAAAAACAATGTTTCTTCTGGTCATTGAACGCCACTTTTTACGTCACACGGTTGCTTTCCCAGTCCTCTGATGCAATAAAACATTGAATGTTATTGATGTTCGTGGACACCTCTGGGCGTCCACTCACTGCCACGGTCGCGATATGCTGACGCCTTAGCAAAGGCCTGAAAGGGTCGATTTCACACGGCTAAGGCGGAACAGTCAGGATTGTGTTAGCTGTTGCGCTAACGATACATTTTTTATCCAGGGTAAAGGAGCGAACGATGGCAGCGGAAGAGCTGCACCCTCTGTTAGCCAATCGGAGGAGAGAGCTTTGCATGTCATGAATATTAATGTGTAGGATTTGTATTTCTGCCCCCCCCCCCCCCCCCCCCCCACACACACACACACACACTCCTCAGACATAATTATACTCTCTGAAACAAGAGCGCCAGAGCTTTTTCTCCACGGAAAACAGCTCACAAGGGAAATTCGTTCATTCTAGATGCTACAGCAGATTTATGGAAGAAAACGAGTGAATGAGACCTTTAAAGGAACCACCAGCCGGGCGTACACCAGACCCTTTTTACACACTCACCTAATTTTCTGCTTCCTCATCAGGACACATGTTGGCTGCACCAAAGAGTTCAACAGACCCGACAAACTCAAAGCGCACATCTTGTCACATTCTGGTGAGCCACTGACTTTATTTGTTTTTTTCCCTTTTTTAATAAATATTGTTCAAGCTGCTCGGTTTTAAAGCAAATGTTTCCCCCGTCAGGTATCAAGCCCTACAAGTGTCTGTTTTGCCAGAAGGCGTTCAGCCGCAGGGCTCACATGCTGGAGCATCAGCAGTCCCACACAGACAACTACCGCTTCAGGTGCTCCACCTGCAGCAAGGGCTTCACCAGACAGAGCTATTACAGAGACCACAAATGTCCCGCGGCAGGAAACGAGACGGCGGCAAAGGGAGGAGCGGACGGAGACGAGGCCGCAGGAGCGGTGGAGATCGGTGGAGAGCGCGACAGGAGGAGAAAGTCTCTAAGGTCGCAGAGTGGTGGGGGAGATGCAGAGACGGAGGAAGATGAACACCGAGAGGGGACACGACAGGGCGAGGGAGAAGACGGAGAAAGGACAGATGAAGGCTGTGGAGTTGCTGTCGGCACCACTGAGGGACAGACTGAAGGGGATGAGGACAGCGGGACGGATAAAGGTGGCGAGGTGCTGGAGCAGATCCGCAGCAGCGACAGAAACGGTTCACAGCAAACTTGCTTGTAGTTGTGAAAATGCTCCAACTTTACCTGGAAATGTCCCATTTTTTTAAGTCAAATGTTAATTAAAGGTGGAATATGGAACACCAAAGCGACATCTAGTGTGCGGAGGTTGTAGCTGCAACATTAGAGCAAGGTTTCCACTCGTCGGACATCAGGTTCGCTGCAGATACGCGACATTTCTTATCAGGGTCCATCTGTCGCAGGCTTCAGCTGAACTTACTCTGGTCTTTTATGGTCGCTCCTCTTCTGAGGAGGACAACGACATCCTCGGGGCTCAGAAGCAGCAGCTCGACTCGCCGAGTCTACCGGTTTCAGCCAGCCTCACCGTACCGAGTGGAAACATAAAACACTGTACCTTCATTCTGCACGCCTCCAAACGCCGTGTGGAGGGTCTATTATCAAACGATGCAGCTTTTCATTTCCATATTCAACCTTTAATTAGAAGTGAAAAACATCAGGGAAATCAATTTTTTTAATTATAAAACTTAATTTTTCTACAGCCGTTACAATTATCCTCTTTCACTCATCTTTTTGCCAACATATGAAACCGATCCTGCACTTTTGTGTAAAGCGTTTATGACTACGCCCTGCCAGGAGGCGGACGGTCCTTTCGACTTAATTCAAGAAATCTGACGACATTTGGTGCAACGGTAGCCGAGAGTAGATTAGAGAAGATGAGGTTAACTCCAACAACAGATGACCTCAGATTAAGAGGTGGATGATGTGCATACTTTCCAGGAAAGCTTTTAATTTAAAATAAAGATTACATTTTCAGTAATTTTATGTTTTTAAAAAATAAAATTTTATTCAAACAACTGTTTCCCTCGGTGATGCGTCTGTGGTTCACCGACTCGTTTACTTACCTTGGTATCAAAGGGCCACCTCGACGAGGCCACAAGAGGAGGAGCCACAGCCAAATACCTACAAGTAAGGCGAGTCCTAAGAAGTCGGTCAGCTCATTGGCAAGAACAAGATCTGAGCAATAAGCAGCAACCAAATATGCCAGTAATCCGATATCCTGCAGGGAAAAGCTGGCCAAAGGAAGGAATCAGACCATAGAAGTTCCTAAACATGCATGGAGGGTTCCATCCCAAATCCAGCACCCTGAGACCACACTAGCCGTAAGGAAGGAGGCTGAGGACTAGTGCGTGTGAGAGCCACATCCAGGATGAAACATCTAAGATCCATAAGTACATTAAGGATAAGGCACCGCCAGATGACGTGCTCAGTGAATGTCTCAGACGATGGCGAACAGAGGCGCTGGAAATGCCATCGTAGAGGACAAACCCCTACACGGGATGTACCACCGACAGATAACCGAAGCAGCTGACATCAAGAAATCCTACCAGTGGCTAGAAGGAGCTGGTCTGGAGGACAGCACAGAGGCACCCATCATGGCTGCACAGGAACAGGCCCTGAACACCAGAGCAACAGAGGCCAAGATCTACCACACCAGACGAGACCCAAGGTGCAGGCCCCTGAGACAATCCACCACATAACTGCAGGGTGGAAGATGCTGGCAGGTACAGCAAACATGGAACGCCACAACCAGGCGGCTGGCATCCTCTACAGCAGGGGTATCCAGTCCTGGTCCTGGAGAGCCGGTATCCAGCATGTTTTAGTTTCAACTCTGCTTCAGCACACCTGATACCTGGCTTCTGCAGAGCCTGATGTACTGCTGCACAGGGGATTCAACTACTGAATCAAGTGTGTTGGAAGAGGACAAACCACGAAACCTGCTGGTTACCGGCCCTCCAGGACCAGGATTGGGCACCCCTGCTCTACAGGAACACCTGTGCAAGAGTACGGACTGGAAGCCCCAAGGTCAAAGTGGGAAACACCCTCTAAGGTGGTTGAGACTAAGAGAGCCAAGCTCCTGTGGGACTTCCAGATCCTGACTGAAAATGGTGACGGTGAACCAGCCAGACATTGTGTTGGTGGACAAGCGGCAGAGGACAGCTGTTGTGGTTGATGTGGCGATGCAACATCAGGAAAAAGGAACACGAGAAACCAGAGAAGTACCAGGGCCTCGGAGAACTGGAAAGCCTGGAGAGTGAAGACATCGGTGGTGCCCGTGGTCATCGGGGCAGTAACCCACAGACTGGAGGAGTAACTAACGCAGATCCCAGGAAACACATCAGACATCTCAGTCCAGAAAAGTGCAGCTCCAGGAACAGCTCCTGCAGAACCTTCCAGCTCCCAGGCCTCTGGTAGAGGACCTGAGCTGGGAGGGACGAGACCTCCCGCAGAGTGGGAGGTGGGAATTTCTACATAGTTCAGTGAAGACTCACAAAAACATGATTGATTTCTTTTATTAATGTGACAAGTTTCTATATTACACATCTTTCATGTACATGAGGAGTTAGAGGGGAAAGAAAATAGAGCATTACCATAAACTTCTTATTAAAACCTCTTTTACAAAAGAAAATTTGTTATTGACACAATTTACAACTTTATTTCATATACAGGAGTGATGGGTGGTTTAGCTGGCTACGGGAGAATTCTGGGAAAGTTTAAAAAACACACACACACACACGCACACACACACACACACACACACACACACACACGCACACACACACACACACACACGCACACACACACGCACACACACACGCACACGCTCACACACACACGCACACACACACACACACACACGCACGCACACACACACACACAGCAGAAATGAGCAATACTTAGTGATATTTACATATTTACTCAAGTAGAATTTTAAAACGTTAAAAACTAAAGAATTCAGAAAACTTTAGGCAACGTAACGAATCGGCCTTTCGTGGCGATACATTCATGAAGTTGTTTTGCTTTTGTTTGACCGTTTTATTATTTTTTTGCCAATTTTCTTAAGAAAACTTCATTTTAATCTTATTTTTGCACAGAAGAGGATTAGGGCACATTAAAAGAAAAAAAATAAAAAGAATTTTGACAAATCTCCAAGTTCTGACTTTAATCTCAGAATTCTGGCTTTTCTCTTAGAAGTTAAAAAGCCAGAATTCTGAGAAAATAAATCAGAATTATGAGATTAAGGTTTCCCTTAATTCAGATTCAGATTTTTTTTCTCATAATTCTGACTTTAACCTCAGAATTATGACAAAAGTTGGAATTCTGAGAAAAAAAAGTTCAGTAAAGGGCCTTTATGGAGCAAGATGATTTATTTAATCTCAGACTACCTGAAATTTAAAATAAAAACAACTCATGCTTGAGGGTGGGATTAAGGCTACCGACCGAGATCATTGAAGACGTACACCGCAGCCATCAGGTTAGACAGAGAGCAAGAAATGTGTGTAGTCAGATTTAATCCCGCCTGAACCCAAGTGCTCCGCGGTTATCTCACTCAGACTAGTTCAGTGTCATAATCTAACTTCATTTTGAGATTAATCATCTTTCATTCTGACGTTGATCAGATTATTAACACCAAACAAAAGAAACAAAGAAATAATTAGTGCTAAAATGGTTTGAGTAAACCTCATCACTGGGAAAAAGTTAAGAACGCACACGAGGAGTCAAACAATAATCTGGGATTGGTTTCTGTAACTAAATTATTAAATGTCCAAAAACCTGCAACTAACAGAGAAGTTCAGCTTGTTGAAAAGATAAACAATTGAAAAATCCTCCTTGAAGCCTTTTATCGAAGGCTGCTGATTTCTTGGAAACGATTCATTTTTTAAGATATGTTGTGGAGAATAAAAAAAGGCAAGAGCCGTCACTCCAAACTCAAACTTGTTACTGAAAAGTCACGATCGGTCTAATCTAGTATCCATAGTCACCGTTTTAGGAGTTAAAGGTGGATTTGGTTCGACAAGATTCGGGGATTTTTCATTATTTTCACAAATCAACAACTTACCATAAAACATTCCTCAGGATCTTATTTTAAACAAGAACATTGTGTACACAAAAAGAGAAGTTGTAAAACGTCATTAAAGCTGTTATTAACCTTTTAGATGCGTCCAGTAAGACTTCCACGTCACAGTGTGTAAACTCTGACCCTATAAAACTAAGGTCAGGTCCAAAAATGTCCCCACGTCTGCCGCCATCATTACAACAGTGGAGGCTACAACACTTTGTTTTTCACAATCATGAATCAGACAGACAGATCGAACATCCGGAGCACGAAAACAGACATCTCTTCCAAGCACCAAGTGTGTCTTTGTTATTGAAGCGCTGATTTTTTTTTTAAGCTCTACTCTTTCTGACCAAGTCCTCCAAACACACCCACATCACCCCGCTTCTCCTCCAGCTTCACCGGCTGCCAGTCAACTTCAGGGTTCATTTCAAGATCCTGGTTCTGGTCTATAGGGCCTTACATGGACAAGCACCATCTTACATTGGTGATCTTCTTAGTCCCTACACCCCCAGCAGGTCCCTGAGGTCCAGTGATCAAAGCCTACTGGTTGTGCAGTGCACCAGGCTAAAGGTCAAAGGTGACAGATCATTTGCTGCTGTGGCCCCCAGACTCTGGAACTCTCTCCCCCTGAGCCTGAGATCAGTGGACTCAGTGGTCTCCTTTAAAAAGCAGCTGAAGACTCACTTGAAGCTGGTTTTGGTGTGACCTTCTTCACCCTCTCCTTGTTCTGCTCTCCCCACCTATTCCACCTTTCCCAGGATCCACTGATGTCCCTCTTTCCTGTTCACTCTCTCACTTTCTTTAAATTTTTTACCCACAATTGTCTATTTTTTGCTCATTTTGAATATATTGTAACCATTTTTCTTAATTATTTTTTTATATTTTACATTTTTTGTTTTTGTGAAGCACCTCGTGATTTTCATCTTGAGAGGCGCTATAGAAATGATCTTTTCTTCCTTCTTAAATATGAGCTTTATTTGTAAAATAGATCAATTTTAATTATTAGTACAGAAATGGTAAATCTCGTTCAAATGAAACAAAAATGTGTTTTTTTTGGGTGCAAATTAACCTTATTTTGCAAAAACAAATTCCACCTCCTCAAAGCTGCATTAAAACTGCGCCCCATTTCAGTTAGAACCAGTGTTAGTTGAGATCATGTGACGACTCACTTTATGGGGAGTAGCGAAGGTAAATGGAAATCTTGGAAGGAAGTGGAACTTTCAGGATCCCATGCAGAATTTTGTGCACATTCCCCGAGTCAGGAGCAGCTTCCATAATTTGGTTAAAAACTATAATAATTAAAAATAAATCCTCAGACTCAGTAAGCAGAGTAAATGTTCGAATCACGAAGACAAGAGTCTTGTCCTTGTTCCCATGCAGGTACCCTAAAGGTGCATGAATGAGCACTAAATCATCAGCTCAGTGTGCAGAAGCTCCCTGATTTGAACACGTACGCAGGACTCTCATTCCTGCCCGAAGCCTTCAGTCTCCTCGATGGCGAACATCAGCTTCTCCTTCAGCTGCTCGTAGCTCCTGTAGGGTGGCAAGTCCAGTCTGTTGAAGCTGGGGGGACAAAAATAGAAACATCAGCGCTATGTTGGACTTCGCTTTTCAATTCAATTCAATTCAAAAATACTTTATTAATCCCAGAGGGAAATTGATTGCTGTAGTAGCTCAGAATAATTATAATAATCAAGTCATCAAAGAGTTGTTGTATATTACAACGGCTGTTGGCAGGAATGATCTCCAGTAGCGGTCAGTGTTGCAGTGAAACTGAAGAAGCCTCTGACTGAAGACACTCTTCCGTTGTCAGACAGTCTTGTGAAGAGAATGCTCAAGGTTGTCCATCATTTTCTTGATTCTCTGGAGAATCCTTCTTTGCATCATCTCCTCCTGCGGTTCCACAGTCGTCCCCAGAACAGAACCAGCCTTTTTTATTAGGCTGTTGAGCCTTTTCAGGTCCCTGCTTCTGATGCTGCTACCCCAACAGACGATGGCTGAAGAGATTACACTCTCAACAACAGACTTGTAGAAGATGTGCAGCATCTTGCTACAGACATTGAAGGACCTAAGCGTCCTCAAGAAGTGCAGTCTGCTGTGTTTCTTCTTGTAAACGGCTTTGCTGTTCTTTCTCCAGTCCAGTCTGTTGTCCAGGTGAACTCCAAGGTATTTGTATTCCTCAACCACCTCCACTTCTTCTCCCATGATGGAAACAGTGTTTGACTCCACCCTGTTTCTTCTGAAGTCTAAAATTATCTCCTTTGTTTTGTTCACGTTCAAGGTCAGATGATTGTTTCCACAACATGCCACAAAGTGCTCCACCAGCTCTCTGTACTCAGCTTCCTGTCCATCTCTGATACACCCGACAACTGCAGAGTCATTTGAGTATTTCTGTAGATGACAGGTCTCTGATTTGTACTGGAAGTCTGAGGTGTACAGGGTGAAAAGGAATGGTGAGAGTACAGTCCCCTGTGGTGCTCCAATGTTACTGATCGCCTGGTTTGATGTGCAGTTCTTCAGCCTCACAAACTGTGGTCTGTTTGTCAGGTAGTCTTTAATCCAGGCGATAGTTGAGTTCCCCACCTGTGTCTTCTGGAGTTTCTGGCAAAGTACATCAGGCTGGATTGTGTTAAATGCACTGGAGAAATCAAAGAACATGACCCTCACAGTGCTGCCTGCTTTGTCCAGATGACAGTGGGTTGGTTGAAGCAGCTGGATGATGGCATCTTCAACTCCATCTCCATGGCGATAAGCAAACTGCAGCGGGTCCTGATATGTCCTAGTTTGCTTATTCAGGTGGACCAACAGGAGTCTCTCCAGGACCTTCATGGTGTGGGATGTCAGGGCAACCGGTCTGTAGTCGTCATTGACTGATGGGCGAGTTTTCTTTGGAACTGGGACAAGGCAGGATTTCTTCCACAGGACTGGAACCTCTCCTGAGCCAGGCTGAGGTTGAAGAGGTGCTGCAGAATCCCACAGAGCGGCTCTGCACAGGCCTTCAGTACTCTGGGGCTGACACCATCCGGACCTGCAGCCTTGTTCCTGTTCAGTCTCTCCAGCTGCCTCTTCACCTGACTTCTAGAGACAGATAGGTGGGAGGGGGAGGTAAATGGGGCAGCAGCATCTCCTGACTTGGTTGAAGTCAGATTTATAGAACCAGAAGCGTCCATGACTGCGTTAGTGGACAAAAGAGCTGGCATGTGACAGGAAAACGTTGGATCAGAGGAGGATGGGATGTCTGATTGGCTGGGGCCAGGCAAAGAGGATGCTGGGTTTTATTCCTGAACTGAACCTATTGAAGAACTTGTTCAGTTCATTGGCTGTGCCCAGGCTGCCATCTGTGCAATCCTTCCTCTGCTTGAAGCCTGTGATCTTCTTCATCCCTGACCAGACATCTCTGATATTGTTCCTCTGTAGTTTGTTCTCAAGCTTCTTCCTGTATGCCTCCTTGGTGTCTCTGATCTTGATCTTCAGTTGCTTCTGTATACTCTTCAATAATTTCCTGTCTCCCTCCTTGAAGGCTCTTTTTTCTCATTTACCAGATTCTTCAGTTTACTGGTGATCCAGGGTTTGTTATTATCGAAGAATCTCACTGTTCTGGTTGGTATAATATTGTCCACACAGAAGTTTATATAGTCAGTGACGCATCCAGTCATGGCATTGATGTCCTCTTCATATCCTTGGCAGAGTCATCCAATCTGTGGTCTCAAAACAACCCAACAGGGCTTCTTCAGCATCCTGTGACCACTTTCTCACAGTTCTTCTTGTCACAGGTTGCCTCTAAACAAGTGGTTTGTATTCTGAGCAGAGAAAAACAAGATTGTGATCTGATTGTCCCAGAGGAGGCCTTGTTTTGGACATGTATGCATTCTTTACATTTGCATAACACAAATCCAATGTCTTGTTTTCTCTGGTGGAGCAGCTGACAAACTGTTGGAAGTGTAGCAGAGCGTGAGGCATGATTAAAATCACCAGATATAGCCACAAATGCATTGGGGTGCTGAGTTTGTAGCTTAGCGACAACGGAACTGATGGCATCACATGCATTTTCAGCAATGGCTGAAGGTGGAATATAAATGGTTGACAGGACAACACTGGTGAACTCTCTTGGCAAATAATATGGGCGACAACTTACTGCCAAGAGTTCAACATCTGGGCTGCAGAGACGACATTTTACTGAAACGTGACCTGGATGGCACCATCTGTTGTTGACAAGCACTGCCACTCCACCTCGTTTACTTTTTCCCCTCCTCTTCAGAGCTCTGTCTGCTCGTACAGTCAGGAATCCTGGCAGAGAGACGCTGGAATCTGGGATATGGTCCTGTAGCCACGTCTCGGTGAAACACATAACACTGCACTGCAGAAACTCTGGCTGAGTCCTTCAAAGGGCTTGGAGTTCCTCCATCTTGTTGGCCAGTGATCTCACATTGCCCATTGTGATCGAAGGAAGAGATGGTTTGAATTTCCTCTTTCTCTGTCTCTGTTTTGCTCCCGCTCTACACCCACGCTTCTTGCGTTTGAGCTCATTTGGGGTTTGTGGCTTCAGTTGAGGTATTATTTCAGCCTTTCCAATGTTAATCAGCTGCTCCAAATTGTAAACCAGCTTGTTGCCATGGTTACACATCGTAACAAATGCTCAAAAAGTGAAAAAAATAGCACTAAAAAGTCCTCTAAGCTTCACAGCACCACAAACAGAAAAGTAAAATGTCCAAAAAATACAGCTTTTCTTGAGAAACTAAAAGAAAAAATGTCCAAGAAAAGGCTAAACTTACATATAGTCAACAGAGCTACTCCAACATGCAGCCACCCAGAGCAGCGCAGTTCCGGAATATTTACATATTTATTATATTTTACCGAACATTGTTGACAAAGCACTGACTATGGACATGTGGAAAGTACTATATTTTTACTGCTTTTTCCCTCTAGTAACCTCAGATATGTTCAAACATTAGACTGAAAGGAAACATGTTTAAATTAAGTCATGTGGTCTTTACAGAATATTTTTATAAAATACCTCTCACATAAATCAGTTTTAGTCTAAGTTTTTTCAGTACCTTCCAGAATGAGCTGTTTCAAGGCTCTGCCACTATAATAAAACAAGCTGTTGCTGGCCACGCCCACCCACCCCCTAATTGGCTGTTATTAGCAGAGAAACCGATATCTAGGAGGGGTTTTTGTGTGTGTGTGTGTGTGTGTGTGTGTGTGTGTGTGTGTGTGTGTGTGTGTGTGTGTGTGGGTGGGTGGGGGGGTGGGGGAGTTTCTACGCTAATCTTCCTTATTATGATGTCACAAACAGGGACTTTTTAAAAGACTTGTTTTGGGCACATAAATCCTAAACCAAACGTTGACAGAAAATGGATGGATAGATTTTACTCACATCTGGAGTGTTTAGAGGCAGTAAAGACCCATACGGCAGCACAAATGGATTCAAAGCGAGTTTAGCATAATGTGTCCCCCTTTAAACAGGTTTAAGCCCACTGTAATTTGTCTGATTTACTGATGTTTAGCTAAACTCACCATGTGTGACTTCTGGGAAGCCAGTTTTCCTTCCCAACCTTCTCAATACAGAACTTCTGAGGACCGTTGCTTCCTGTAAAGGGGAAAGAGATTATCATCAATCTCAAAAGAAACAACAAAGCTGTTTCGGTCCTTTTTTAGATTTACTGCATTTCTTACCCATAAGATCAGCAAAGCCCCCTACAGGCAGGCGACAGGTTCCAGTAACAAACTGCAGCAGCCTCATCCGTTTTTCGTTGTCCATTTCCTTCATCAACTAAAAAATGCACGGAGCAATGTTTACCACTTTCATGGGTCACTAGAACAGTTATTCAGCTTTTTGACTGATTATGGAGAAAAAACAGACTCAAAAGATCAGTCTGTGTGTAAATCTTGATTTATAACGCGTGTTTACCTTTCGTGTCCTACTTTGACTCCTACGCACGCACATCATTAAATGAGCACGCAGGAATCGCCTGATACCCACGGGCAACACTACATTCACGCACAGATCAGATTACAAGTACACACATTGTTTGTATGTAAATGGGGTGTTTAAATAGTCCCTTTAAACTTGTGCTAAAGGGACAGAAGACCTTTCTCTGCAGAAAACCACAATATCTCAGCAGCCCAGAGTTACACCAACTCATTTCAAATTTTCAGGGTCTCTAGTATAAATGGAAGCCTTGTGAGTTTTGTATGGCAAACTTTAAAAAACGGCAATCTCTGGAAAAATTAAACAGTCAGCATCAGGGCTGAATGATTTTTGGAAAGGACTGAATTGCGATTTTTCTGGCAGAAATTGCGATTTCTATTCAATGTACAGTTTTCTTAAAACAAAGCTTCAGTTGAATAATCACAACGTACAGTGACATTTGTAAACAAGACAGAAATGACATTGTACCATCAAAACAATAAAAACTATTACTCTAATGCAGGAATGCAAACAAACATGCTAAATTTTCCCTGCGTCGTTTTACCACGGCTAGCCACCTCAATGGTTTATCTCGCTAAAGCCGGGCGGACACTGTGCGACTTTTTAACTTGTAGCATTCAGCTTCATCTCAAAGTGTACAACATCCCTGCAGAGTAAATCTCATGAGTCATGTATGACCCAGTTCTCGGGTGCGACTTGACTGCTCACACCGTAAGTCCGGTAGCAACACGCAACACTTGCCCTGATCTTCAAGATTCTCACAAGAGGGGAAAATCGGCTCAAAACGTCGCACAGTGTCCGCACCGGCTTCACTTATTCACAGCCATTAAAGACAAAAGTCAGCATTTTAAATCCAACCGTTCACTGCAAATGAATGATTTGCATTTTTTTTACAGTCGGAACGAGCCCCCGCACCGTGAGAACAAACATCCCAGCTCTAAAGCCAATCTTCAGCCGTGTGCGTCACACGTCACGTGATCAGGAAGCAGAAAATCCATGTGTTAGGAGATCGTTTTGGGGCGCTGACAACGGATTATGAAAGAACAGATAAGGCTTGAAACGCGCTGATTCTCTCTGATGTAAGAGGTGAGTCTACTCTTTGGTTTGGTAGTTTTGGCGTTGACATCATCCTAGTGCGCATCGTTCAGTGATCTTAAAAAAACTGTAAAAACGATGGCAGCTGTTGGGTTAGTTATAAATCCCTTAACCCTTAAACCTGAAATGAACACACACAAAGAGGAGGGAGGTCGTTTTACGCTGTGTGGCCAGAGCAGCGGAGGGAAGACCTGGCAAAAACCCCTCCGGGTCTCCGCCATACTTCTCTGCCCCTCCTTGTCCCACAGTAAGTTTTATTGAAAAGACAGGACGAAGAAGGCGGGGCCTTCTCGAGTTATAGAGTTACAGGCTCGTCTCCTAGGATACCAAGCAAACACAACCGTGCACACATCACACTCCAAAACTGCTCCGTCAGGTGGAAAGCTGTTTAATGTAGGGAGTGAAAACAATGTCACATTTTCCTCCTACAAACCCAGGTGCTTTCATTCTATTTCTCATGGGAGTATATTTGATAACACCGAACAGCATGACCTGAGGAAGGTCGTCGTCCTCCCTGTTGAGATGGGAGGACTGGCACAGGATAACACTTGCATTTAATGAAGCACCAGGTGTTTTAAAGGTGGTTATGTTTTTTAAGCAGTAATGTCAACGAAAACCACTTTTCCTCTGTCAGCAGCGAAGGAATTTTCAGATCAGGAAACGGCTGGCAGTGAATGAGTTAAGACCACCACTAACACCGTACTCTGACACATTTCTGAATTGGTACTTTGAATAACCGTACCTCCAACAGTTTGTGTCATCAGAAAAAGTCAGCTTATTAAAGAAGTGAAGTTTTGTGCCATTGTGTCAACCCCTGCTTTTAAAAACCGTTAAACCTGGGGAAAACCCTGGATGTAGAAAATAGTTGACTCAACAGATCCTGGGTCAGTCCGGTGCCCTTAAAAAAAACTTTTGCAACTTTGGCGAACAAATGATTGCGTTGTCTGAAATCGCAATTTCCATCAGAAATCGATAATCGTTCAGCCCAATTCAGCATCAAGAATTTGCTTGAATTTGTATCACACACAAGTGGTGTGTGAATTATTTCCAAGAAGAAAAGGAGTTTAAAAATAAACAAGTCAAAAGTGTGTTTTACCTGCCAGAACCAGACGATTTGTTTACTGGTCCGCGTATAGTGTCTATAGATAGCGTGTCTTTGCCAGTCTCCAAGGTCGATTTCCTGCATCCCACAGAGCATCACCTGGAAAAAAAACACAAGATCTTTGTGATTTCTACAACCAACAAAAGTACTGAGCTATCCTTCCTACTGGTCAAGCCCCGCCTCTCAGAAAGCTACTGATCAAGACCAAATAGATCCTTTACTAAGAGCTTCTGCTTTAACCTTACCTCTAGCTCTTTTGCATCAAAGTACTGCAGGTACTGCTGAGGGAGGACCTCGTTGAAACCTTCAAAGAAAGCCTGTGTTTGCTCCTCCACTCCTCTGGACAGACGCCACTCTGCCACTAGCCTGGAAGAGGAAGACACCAACAAACACACTTAATCTCATGAAGGTCAACACAACTGAAGTTTCATTTCGATAAATACCCAACACATCTTAAAATGCATCTGCAGGAAAAGTTTTTGTTACACTGCATGAAGAGTCAACCCACTTGATGTACTCCTCCTTGTTCTCCTCGGTGACCTGGATGTCTCCTCCTCCTGGCTTCAGCTCATGGGTGGTGATTTCCCCGAGGATCTCCTTGTCAACAGAGAAGAACATCTCCAAGCCACACTCCTCGATGTTGTTGTCCCTAGATGGTAAAAGGTCAGAGGTCAAAGCTTCTTTGTAATATTTTGCAGGACTTCAATGTATTAACAAATCAAACGAAACAGATAAGACTTTGGGTTTATACAACCTGTTAACTCATTCACTGCCATTGACGACTAAAGTCGTCATTTGCATGTTTTTACTGTGTATGCGTCGGACGAGCCCCCGCACCGTGAGAACAAACATCTCAGCTCTAAAGCCGACCTTCATCCGCAAACGTCACACGTCACATGATCAGGAAGCAGAACATCCATGTGTTAGGAGATCGTTTTGGGCTGCTGCTGTAAAAAAAGTGAGGCACGAACCGGAAAAGCTTCTGCCGATCACAATTCGACAACGGATTATGAAAGAACGGATAACGCTCGAAACGCGCAGATTCTTCCTTATGTAAGAGGTGAGTCTCCTCTTTGTTTTGGTTGTTTTGGCGTTGACGTCATCCTAGCGCGCAACGTTCTGTGACTCTTGAAAAAAACTGTGAGAAACGCTGGCAACGAAGGGCTTTACCGATCAGGAAACGGCTGGCAGCGAATGAGTTAATGAAAGCTACCCTGTTGCTTGCAACTTCCAAAACTTGTTTTGGTTTGTAAATAAATTTAAGCCGGGCGTACACTGCCGATTTTCCACTCGTGCGAGAATCCACGAGATCGGGGCGAGTTTTGCGCTGAGCGTCGTGTAGTGTACAGGGGGTTACGAGAGGCGATTAACACCACGTGACCAGCTACCGATCAGCAATCGTGAGCTCACACAGATTTCTGGCGTGTTTGATATTTTGCTCCTCCCTCGTGAGAGTATCGCACTGTTGAAGCGGCGCTGCGAGCAGCTGTGACCCAAAGAGTACCAGAACCGCTCACGGCGCATGCGCAATCCTGCATCAACACCGCTCGCCCGCTATTTCCCTAATAACACACGTTGTTCGTTTTAATTTCTACACGTTTTTTTACTCACAACGATTGTCAAGAAAGCGTGTTTGTCGTGTTCATGTCAAATTAAACTGATCACAAAACACATATTTACTTTCTTTATTTCGTTTTCCTCATCCAACCCCCATAAATCCCTGTGTGTCCTCCTGCAGCACCCCCGAAGGACAACAGGCAAGACAAGAAAATCTAACGTGTTGTGTAAAAACTGCTATTTTTAGCATATTTTTAGGGCTGACGTGTTGCTACCAGACGTACAGTGTGAGCAGTCATGTCGCATCCGAGAACTGGGTCGTACAGTGTGAGCACATGACTCGTGAGATCTGCCCTGCGAGGAAGTCGTACAGTTTGAGCTGAAGCTGAGTGCTACGAATGAAAAAGTCGCACAGTGTCCGCCCGGCTTTAGTCAGTTTGGGTAAACACAACAGAAGTACACATCTATTCCAATCAAGTTAAATGTACTCACTTGATCCACATGAGAGAATTGTAGAATTCAGGATCTATTGACTCTAGATCGTTGAGAGTCAGCGGCTTGTTGAGCATTCTCTTGTAAAACGGCTGTGAGAAACCCGTATCGATGAACTTGCCGTGGAAAAGTGCCTGATGGGGGAAGACAGTGCTCAGAAATGCGTGCGACTATGTTCTCTCAGCACAAGCTTTAATCTATTCTTAATAGTTTACTCACCATGGCAATGAAGCGTCCTATGAACTTGAAATATTTGAGGTGGTCAGGGTTGATGTAGGAAGCAGGGTTGATCTGGAGGCAGTAGTTATCTTTGCCGGCATATTCAAACAGGCAGTACATCGGGTTCAACACCTCATGGGACAACAGGAAGAACCACTCTCTGGAAGACAGAATAAACAGAAATTCCTGAGAATATTGAAAGGGTCAGATGTTCCGAGTCTTCCTTATTAATATTTATAATATTAGCATCTGACTGGCTAGCAGAACTGCAACCCTGCTTTTGTTTGCTCTTCTTTCTTGGGTAAAAAAGTGCATTTCTGTTGTTTAGGTGAAAGTTCTTTCTACACAAAGCTTTTTAAAAAGGTTGGACGTTGCCTTTTTGCCTTTGGATTTGTTGTGTTTAGAGTCTTCTAGTTTCTCCATCTTGGAATTAAAACTTAGCTCATTATCAGTAACTAGAACTGCAGATGAGTCACTCTTTCTTGGTGTATTTAGTCCAGCTTCATGAATGGTGACGCTCAGTTTTCTGGTAGAATTTAGTGAAAGTTTGCGGTCCTATTTACGACGCGACGACATTGTTGGTTAGAATTTGAACGTAAATATTCTGAAAAGTTCTAAATCACACACGAGCGCCGCTCACGTTCGGTCTGAGGACCGCGGTTGGCCCCCTGGGCGACACTTTGGGCGCCGCTGTTTGAAATAATCATGTTAGGATAAAGTTGATTTTTTTTAACTTACCTGGCCACACCTCCATAATCGAGGCCTTCCTCTCCAGGAAAGATGATCCACAACCTCCTCCGTAGATCCTGAGCATTGATGCTCATGATCTAAAAACAAAATAGATCACCGTTAGAAAAAAGCAGCAAAATAGTAGAGAAACAGGTTTGAAACCACTCCATTAAACCCCATCCAGTTTTGCTGCACTCGTTCCATTTTATCTTACACCAACGTGCAAGTTTAAGTGAAATGTTTAATATTCTGGTGAATTTTTACCTGCTGGAAAGAGTCCTCGAAGAGGGTTTTTCTAGTGACAGTGATCTTGACATGTTGAGGCAATGCCAGTTGCTATAAAACATTACAAAAAGTAAATTAAAGCAGAACTTTTCACAAGAACTAAGAGTAAACCAAATAAACATAAAAACAAGAGTACTGGAGTGGGAAAAACACCAAGTAGAAAAACAATAAATATTCATAGAAGCTGCTTTTAGTTAAACGCTGAAATGGAGGTTCAGCGGATTTATTTAGACTACAAAATCAAGACTAGTTGGACCTAATCCCTAATCTTATAATGCGTCTGTGTTATTTATTACTGGCAATCGTTGACCAGATGACCTCAGCCTGTATGAAGAGGGGCAACGTTGCATAAGGTCAGAGACAGAAGCCTGAGCTCAAACTGATGGACAATGCTCCTCCATTCAAATGGGAAGAACGATGCACCAGAGGGCTGTTCGGACCTCAGCAGGCCTGTGATCATTTGACACATGTCCTTCCCTCTTTGTCCACTTACTGTCCATTCACTGAAACATAAAACCTGTAGTACAAGAAAAGATGTGGGACCTTGTTTTGTGTAGATTAGCATGGTTCCTCTATTTTCTTTTCGCAAAATTTGGCTTCACTGCCAATTCTTCCAACTTTATAAATGTTGGTTGTTTGGCTACATTTACTAATATAATTTCCGACCGAGTTGCATCCAATCAGCAAGAATTAACAGAGACACGCGCGTACTGTGAAGTTCTAATAAAATTACACGGCGTCTCCGTTGGTGGACACAGACCCGTTGATTAAAATATCTGTTGACGCAAAGCTGAATCACGTAGTTGCTTTATTGTGACATTAAAGGTGTGGTTGACTGAAAAAAAAAACATTTTCTAATTATAATATAATTATAATCAGTCACTCTGAGGTTTTCATGCAGGCTGAACATGAAAACAGTCTCGTACACCCATCTCCTGCATTAGCTTCAGATAGAAAATAGACAGTGAAATGCTAGGATTTGAAAATCCTCACTAATCTATGTCACACTGTGAATTTGCATTCATGGTCTCGCCCATCGTAGCTCGCACCCACCCACAGAATGGCTTTTTCCAAAACATTTATTGCAGCGAAGAGAAAGAGTGGAGTGTCTTGGTGATGGTGACATTGCAACATGGCTGGACGTGTTCTGTTAGCCAATCAAAAGCAAGGTGTGTGCATATCATTAATAATAATGAGTAATCCTGCTGTTTTCAGCCCACCTCTGCACCAGCAAACTTCTGCATCTCAGAACAGGAGCGTCACAGCTTTTTTTTAAAGACTCATAAGGCTTTTATGTACACGAGTAAACCACACCTTTAAACTCCGATTGTTTTCTAGTGACATCAGCCTAAAGGAGAAACTGTAAATATTTGTTCTTCTTCCTGCTTGAAGAGGTCTGAAGCTCACCTGGCACCAGAATCGGAAGTACTGAACTTTGGCTTTGAAGTCTCGAACGTAAGTGATCTGCGGTCCATTTTCACTGACAGAAAAAAAGAGGAAAAATAAAGTCAAAATCTATGATAACATTAAATATTATAGTGCAATCGTAGCATCCCCACCAAAAATGTTATTTTAAATCAATATTTTTTGCACTAAGTTATTTTTGTTTGCTTTGTTGATCACTTCCAGTATTTTTAGGGAAATTAATAATGCCTCAAATGTTTTCAGAGGTGTGATAATGTCCTGGGTCAGGATGTTAGAGCTCATCAGCTTAAACAACCATGTTCCTTTGCCAAACCTGCTTTTCCACCACCTCACACACAAAAGTAATTCAATTCAAAGACACTTTATTAAATTAGAGTTTCAGTACACACAATTCTGAGATCGGACATACATACATGGGCATAAACACATGACAAGAATTGGTGACTGTGGTCATTCGCAACCTGAGTCGCGCCACCTTAATAGAGGTCAGAGGGTTATATGAGGATTGGTTCAGGTGGAGGAAAAAAAGGCACTTCAAAGTTACCCTCCACAGGGAGGGCAGCTTTGCTCTGCAAAAAAAACACCTCAGACAGAAATGCAACAGACTTCAGACATAACACAACACAAGTGTCCACTAGGTGGGGAGGTAGGGTTGGGGACTCTCCACACATCAGTGCATGCAGCCGCGATAAGCAGCGCTCGTCACCTCCGTTTGGACAGGGGAGGGAGGTAGTTGGGTTTAGAGAGCACAGTGACTCCTGTAATGATTCAGCTGCCTTCACCGGTTGCAGTCCCGCCCAGGCTGGGAAAGGGAGACAGAGTTGTCATGGCGACGACAGCATTCCGCATTTCTTCTGAGGGGGATTTATCGCTTCAGCCTCACAGACTCAAGGGCACCAGATTCAGATAAGAATTTGTTTTGGGGCCAGAGATAATTTCCTCTCTGTCTTAAAGTTCCGTTGGTCCTCAACCCCTCTGAATCCAATAATGGCGTAATCAATCTATCCCAATCCGTGCTGACCCGTCAACTTTCTCCTTGATCGGATCCAACTTCTGTGCCAGAGCCTGAATCTCAGCCAAAGTTCCAAGCTTACGACTCATCTCGACAATTATATGAGTCTGTGCGTTCACAGCGCGGTGTAATCTATCCCTGAGCTCCGGGAATGAGCCAATATTCCTCGACAGCTCATTAATTTTCCGGTAAGCCAGGTAACCACTCAGGCCGAAAAGCAGGAAACCTGACACCAACACCACGAATATCCAGACGTCTTCAGAATCCTCTACAGACAGTTGAGAGAGGCAGATCAGCTTCCACTGCTTCCAGGAGTCCATGATCTGCCCAGCTGGCTCTGTCCCAGAGGCCCCTTCTCCTGTTCTCATCATTGAAAAAATTTTGTCAATCGTGTTGAGAGACCAACTGACCAGATCCATTTTTAATAATTTCCAGTTTCCAGAAAAAATGCAGAAACGCCGTACACCCAAAGACAGACAAAGAGCCTTGGGATAAGATAGGGAGGAGAGGAGGAAAAAAGCGTCTCAACTCTCCCAAGAGCCGGAAGAAGAAGAAACCACACCCATGCCAGGCGCACACGAGAGATGGGAGGCAAAATGATAAAAACACAAAAGAATGCTGTGGAACACCCACGAATCATTTCAGAATAATGCACATGTTCCCCGTAAAATAAAATAAAAATAAATAAAAGATGAGGAATTTCTCAAAAATACTGATTGGAAAATTATATGAAAATTTTTTAATTCATTTCCAAAAATAATTATTTATTTTCTTCTTATAAAAAAAGCTGTTGGTTAACTATTTAATTTTAACGTAATAAGATTTCTTATATATCAAGTAATAAAATATTTAATTTATGAATTTCCAGTTACATTAAATCCGTTTGTTCTATGTTAATCCAGAGTGATCTCCTGAATTCTCAGAAAGCCTTGTTTATAAAATCACAACAAGGCTTAGGACGTTTCCAGTACTTCTGCATTAATCCCAGTTGGTGTAAAATGTGTTATTTATACTTGGGTATTGTTTTTTAGTCGGCCTCATTAAACCGGTCTTAGACAAGACGGAATATTTTTGGGGAAAGTAGAAAAGGCGACAGACGCACAGTGAAGATTTTCCGGTCCGTGGGTCAATATAGGTGGTGGTTCTCCGGTTGTGGTCCACAAAATAAGGAATCCCATCCACAGTGAACCTCATCTCCCAGCCTTCAGGAAGAGGCTTTTCATTCAACAATCTGAAAAGTGAAAAAAAGAAACCCTTTAAGACAAATACATGCAGACGGTAGAGAAAAAAGCATTTGCCGTAAACAAGAAAAACTTATTTGACGATAAAACGAATGAAAACAAACAAACCCTTGAGTTCGAGGATCCTCCCATTGTGTTGAACGAGTTGGGTGATGCACAAAATAAACTCTGCCGTTCGCATCTGTTCTCTTTTCTGGAAAGGCAATAAATCCAGACAGATTTATCCGTTTAACTTACAGGATAAAATCTGCTCAAATAAAGAAATAATCATAATAATCATAATAATAATTATGAAATAATTGATGTATAAACTGCCATTTAGTGGAAAAACCTAATGTATTCCCAGATGAATTCAGTACAAATAGAACTAAATAAAACAAGCTGAAAGAAATGGGTAATGGGGGAAATTACAAATTTATTTACAAAAAATAAATAAACAAGAACAAGAAATTATTAAAATCTATATTTAAATAGAAAAGAAAGAATGCTGATATCACTAAACTCACTGATCAAATTCAAACAACATACTTAACAATGCCTTATTAATTTAATTAATTTTATATGTATAATTCTACTTTTTTTATTGTTTTTGTACGTAACACTGCACTCTATTGGGATGTTTATAACAGTAAATCATTATAAAGGCCAAAGATGTCTCCTGAATTACACGCTGAAAACAACTATCAATAGTGACTAAATAACTAAAACCGTTTATGATCTTACCCCAGCCATGTGGCAGAGGTCCCATCGGGTCATACTCCTTGTTCTGACTGGCCGTAGCTTGGTCTTGAACCTACATTGTTGATAATGCAACAGAAAATAACTTGAGGAACAGTTTCAGCGGGGTGATTTTTTTCAATACGTTCATTTACAGCCGAGAATATTGATCCAGTTCTCCACTAATGTAGAGAAAGGACAATTCTGCTTTGATTCACCAGCAGGAAACACAAATGCCCATCCCATTCCTTTCAGTACCACATAGGAAGCAGGAAGTCTTACCCCGTATATGAACCTCTGGTTGAACTGCTGCATGGCGCCCTGCAGCTGGCTACGCTGGTGCTGCCACTGCTCGTAATTACGCACCGTCTCCATCGTGGGGCGCTGCCACGTGGTGGTTCGAGTTATGTGATCCACAAAGTAGACCCGCCCCATCTGGTCGACCCGTCGCTCCCATCTGTAGACAAAGAAAATGGTGAACGTGAGTCTTGCCATTACTGATATGCTTTAAAGTAAGAAGTGCAAATAGTGTCGTTAATTGTGCGATATTCATAAGTAACGGGAAGTTTTTACCCGTGGGGAAGTGCTTCAGGGCGTTCCCACGTTGTTCTCTTCTCCACATGGTCAACATAATAGAGTCGGCCATTCTGATCCACTCTCTGCTCCCATCTACAACAGGAAAGGGACATCTGGAGCATGTTCTCAAACATTTGAGTTGTATTTACACGTTAAAGGTGGCGTAGGAGATGTTGGAGCAAGCTACATTTGAAAATTACATAATTCTAAAGGCATAAGCCCATTTTGACCTGTTGCTAACTAGCCTGGCAAACCATCCTATGTATGCCGACTCTGCCTACAACCCACTGAAAGCTCAACGGCTCTGCTCTTGACTCAAATAAACACCCAAGTCTAAATAGTCTTGAACTGAAGCCAAGGATGTTTCAAACGAGCCGTCTCCATCTTAGTTTTGCTCAGTCACAGTAACACCCTGCCCACCACGCTGTGATTGGACTGTACGGATGTCAGTCAACGCGGCAGTCCGCCATGCAAATGCATCCTTTTTCTAAATAAAGGACTTAAGAACATCTATCTGCTCTTGACCCTACAAACCGCCCAAGTCTAAATAGTCCAAAGTCGATGCCAAAGCCATTTCAACCAAGCTGTCACCAGTTTCATTCAGTCGCATTAACATCCTGCCCAACAAACAGATAGAGCGCTGTGATTGGCCAATCACCAGACTGACCAGGGCTGCTGAGGCTCCAATGGAGCATCACTAGACCAACATGCAGAGATTTCTAGGCTAGTTGGTCACAACTTTCCTGCCATGACTTCTAATGTAATGCACCTACATAACAATATAACGGTTTAGTACGCTAGCAAACATAGTAGGGACATAAAAAAAATATCGATATGGCAATACATCGTAATATTTTTTCCTGCGATATATCAATATTCAAAAGCCGTGTATCTAACATTTGTGTTTTTTCTTTTTTCTTTTGGCGCAATTCAAAGGCCAGCCGCTAGATGGCAGCAGTGTGCAATGGATTTGGTTTCCACCATTAAAATGTAAATCCCTCTGTTATGGTTCAGATGCCTCATATTAAACATGTTAATTATCAGTTTGGACTGGTTATTGAATATTCCTACAATTAATTCAGTCTAAAAAAAATCACTAATAACGTCTGACTGAATGCATCACAATATATCGTGATACATCGTATCGTCTCTCCTGTATCGTGATGCAGATCGTATCGCCAAAATCTCACCAACACACATCCCTAAAACGTAGTGTGGCATTTTTATTATGAAAATCAAGGCAGTTCTTAGCTTTTTTGGTTTATTCTCAACTTCAAAATCACATTAGCTCAACACCACCAACAGTCTGGGTGACCCGGATCAGGATTTGAAGTTTCAGAGGTAGGTGATTAAAATTATTACAAATTTGACAGAACATTTAATTAACTGGTTGCCATCGGTATGTGAAAAGCATAATCCCGATGTGTTTTTCTTTGGCATGAATAAAAAGCCTTGAGTTTAATAAGTTGGCTTCCTACATACTTGTGCTTCCCAGGATGACTCGTTCACTTCTCTCTTCCAGTAGTTTTTTTCTGTTGAAACTTGTTTTTTTTTCCCCCTCTTTAATTTAATTTAAATGACTCTTTCTAAAAAATAAATAAATAAAAATTTAAACAATGAGAACAAACCCAGGGGGCAGCGGTCCGGTGCTGACGGACGGTACTCTGGGAGGGGGCACAGCGGGGGTGGCGATGCCGGCTGGCTGCCTGGTCGCAGCAGCTCCAGAGCTTAAAGCCAGCGAGTTTCTCTCTGACGACGTAGACGGGCTCGAGGTGGAGGCTGATGAGGGTCCTGGGGCAGACGAGCCGACTGGTGGATCAGAACCTGTCGGGGCGTCACCACCATCTGCTGGAGCGGAGCCATTGCTGGAGGGGGCTGAGGTAATATTCAGACCTAATATTAACAGTAATTCCACCTTAAGTTATTATACTTATTAAATAACAGACTGAAAAAAACATTTTATTTCTTTTTATGTCTGTCAGGGTGACTCTGATGACTCATCTGAGTCACCAGATGAACTCACCCCGAGGTAAACGGTTATAAATATATTATCTTTGTGTTTCTCCCACTTTAATCAGACAATAAATGCATGACCACAACTAAATTTTACAAACAAACACAATAGATCTGCTTCAGGAAATGCCTGACCGGGTGAGGAGGTTGGTCTGCGAGGGGTTGGAGGAGGAGGCCTGGAAGGTCTCGGTGGACGAATAGGCCTCCCCACCGCTGAAGACACAGAGGGAGACCCTCTGCCATTTGCTGCCCTCAGGGCGCTGGGAGAAGGCCTGTGCTCCACACCGTTCACAGCTGGAGAACTGTCCCGACTGGGTCTGTCAGGGAGGACGGAGAAACGAGGAAATGAGAAAATCTAAGAAAAGGAACTCTGCTTGAGATTGATTTTACCTTATGGGAGGATCCGCGTCAGGCTGCGATTCTTCATTTGATGTACCTAAAAAGCCAGAAAATGAAGTTTAACAAATGAGAATATCAGCAAAATCACAAGGCTAACAACCATGCTGAAATGCAGTGGAGTAGCTGAATCACCACAGTCACGTGGCTCTACCGCGACTCACTGTTTCGGTCGGCTTCAGCAGAGGCGAACATCTCAGGGTCCACGGTCATGCCGTCCAGGCAGACAGACAAGTCTCCCACCACGTCTGTCTGGTCTCTGTCGGTGTACAGCTGCAAGGTCTGCACCACCTCGGAGACTACAGTGATCAAGAATGAAGATTATGGTTACAAAGATGCCCAGAGGACACTGAATTATAACTTGTTATTAAAATAAACACACAAAAAACACAACACTGGTTGCTAGGCAGGTCTTGCTCAGGCAGAATGTTCCTGAAGGAAAAAACCAAGAGATCATTTGTAATGAACACAAAGAAGTTCACTTCACTGCTTAATCCAAACTACGGCGCACCAATCAGCCATCCATTCAATACATCTTCGTTTTAAAACGGTTCCAGAATCCAAAACTGCATGTATCTTGTTGTTGTTGATTATTGTTTTATTTATGTATAAAGGAAGATGAGAAGCATGAATGTCCAGCAAACAGATCTGCTGGAATACAGGAAAGGAGTCTGAGGCCAAAGCGAGGGTTTTGAAAACAATCCTTCCTCTTTGAGGAAGATGAACTGGGTCATGAGCGGACAATATGAAAACGTGTTCACGGCAGCGCTTAGTGACGCACGCTTCGGGAGGAGCGCTCATGATGTGTTCTGCTGGAGCGAGACGTCGAGCAGTGCGCCACCTTTCTGGAGTTCTCACGGTGCGACATGAACAATCCTGTGCGACTGCCAAAAGTCGCAGTGTGTTCCCGACATAAGGCAGCGTCATAGAGCCATAGGAGTAAACCGACCAATCAGCATGCAGCTCGATTAATAATTGGGTTGTAGTTGTAGAGTGTTTTCTAGGGTTTTATAATCCTCTAAAGTGCTTCACAACACGTTTTGTTTTGCGTCTGGCAGTGTATTTGACCATTTTATCAGGGCTCCTCGGCCATTGTGAGCCCCAACAGTTTCATATTATATTTTATACAGGCTCAAAGAATAGTTTCCTATTGTAAAAATAATGGTTGTAGTACCCCTTTAAAACTAGCTAAGTAAGAAACAAACGTTTGGAAGAAACAAAAGAAAAGCAGCAGAAGTCTGTTTAGTACCATTTAGAAGTGAATTAAAATGTATTGGTATAAAAATCTGACACAATAAACAAAAGTTGTTTTACTGCTCACTGTGTCACCACTTCAAACACACTCCAGAAACCCCCCCCCCCACACACACACACACACACAGGTGCAACAACAAACAGGCAAACAACAGAAGCAGCATCGTGCAGTAAACTCTAGTCAACAAACAAAAAGCATCCAGAGGGCGTTTCTCAAATTCCAAGAGCAATGTGCAGTACAGGTTTAAATGCCAGTCACGCTCTGAGCTTCTCACAAATCTGCACATTTTATGACGATATTTGAGCTCGTAGAGCTTTGAATGCAGAAAAGGTCTCGGAAACCAAACTCTGCAACAGCACAAGGCGAGTTTTCTTGGTTTTCTTTTGCTTGTTGCTCAGCTCAACAACAACTGGTAGCCAAAGACATACTTTGAATATTAAGATGAACACAAGGTGCTAACTGCTTTAAAGCACTCACTTTTCATGTCGTTGGACTTCAGTGTGTCACTGATGTCCAGCGTGGACATGCCCAACAGGACGTCTGACTTGAGGGTCTGGTGGCTCCACACACGGAACACCAATTTGCTGAATGGAGTCACAATCCTGTTGAAACAAACGGTTGTGATTACTCAGCTTAGTTTATTTATTTATAAAGCACCATCCACGACCTTATCAGCAGACCAAGGTGCTGGACACAACCACAAAACACACAATAAAAACAAATAAAGTGGCGTGAAACATTTAATGAAAGATAAAAAACAAAAACAATCGTAAAACATTAAGAGAGTCAAATAAAAACAGGGAGTGATCAAAAAAAGGTGTTGTGATCCCTAATGCTGAAACGCCATCACATAAAAATGAGTTTTCAAGCAAAACTTACAAACCAGAAGTGATGGCACCTGCCTAAAGGCAACTCGTTTCAAAGCCTTGGAGCCAGAACAGAGAATGCACAAACCCCTCAATCTGTACTTGGAGCGGGGATCCACCAACAAGTCACGCTCAGCCGAGCGAAGAGACCGGGATGGGACACGTCTGTAGTGCAGTAGTACTGACAGGAGCAGGGCCTTGAAGAGCCCTGTACGCAAGTAAGAGAATCTTAAATTTGGCTCCGTCAGCACTGCACCAGGAGCCAGTGAAAGCTCGCCAGAACCGGAGTGATATGTTCTCAGCTCCTAGTGCCTGTCAGAAATCTCGCAGCTGGATGAGCTGGAGCAGTGCAAGGTGCCCGGACTCAGACTGGCATTAAAGGCATTGCAGTGGTATAAGATATAAGATCGTTAAGGATTATAAAGAGATGGCGATCTACCAAAGCTCGGAGATCGTAGAACCGTTTACTTACATTCACCTGTGCCTGTGCATGGATGGATGGAAGGAGAGAGATAGAGGGAGAGATAAATGGTAGCCTCATGGAGGGGGCCATAGGCTTGAACACTGTTGCTAACCATTTAAACATTCTCCCTCTCCTGATAACAACATTTTACTTTCATTCACATTGCATGTGCTACTACTAGTTTACCCGTTTAATTATAGATTCACTAGGATAAATACAATAAAGCTTATCTCTCACCAAATAGAATATTTACTAAGACATCACAATGTAACCATAGAAACACTACTTGGTGTGTGTGGGTGTGTGTCTGCTCTGTCTCGATCCCCAGTGAGTCGTGGAGGATGGCTGCTTATACTGAGCCAGGATCCTCTGGAGGTTTCTTCCTGTTAAAAGGGAGTTTTCCTCTCCACTGTCGCTATATGCTTGCTTAGTATGAGGATTGCTGTAAAGACTCTGACACTAGTCAGTGACTTGATGCCACCTGCTGGGTTCCTTATACAGGAAACTTTTTTCTGATTGGGTTAATGAACTGACCTGCATTGGAATGTTTATTATGTGAAGTGCCTTGAGACGACTCCTGTCGTGATTTGGCACTTTATAAATAAACTTGAATTGAATAAAGAGATAATGGAATTTTAAGATTTTTTTTAGGATTCTGAAATCTTTTATCCGATTTTTTGTGAAGGGGTATGATTTAAATTGATGCATTTTAATGGTAAATAACTTCAAAAACGCCTGAATTATCAAAATAGAAAAAACCGTGATTAAATCGTGATTTTGCAAAAACAAAATAGTGATATGATTTTTTTTCACCCACCCCTATCTGCAGTGCTGTGGATGTTGTACCGGTCTGTCGTGGTGAAGAGAGAGCTGAGCCAGAAGGCGAAGCTCTCGATTTACCGGTTGATCTACGTTCCTACCCTCACCTACGGTCACGAGCTTTGAGTAGTGACCGAAAGAACAAGATCAAGGATATGAGCAGCCGAAGTCAGTTTTCTCTGCAAGGTGGCTGGACTCTCCCTTAGAGATAGGGTGAGAAGCATCTGGGAGGAGCTCGGAGTAGAGCCGCTGCTCCTCCACATTGAGAGGAGCCAGTTGAGGTGGCTCGGGATATGATGATATGGTACAGTATAAATACCATGAGCCGCTACGGGGAGCACACTGCGTTCCCTTCTATTTATGCTGCAGCTGGAAGCTCAAGGTTGGCCAGAGGTCGCTTGGCAGAACGTAAACTTAGTCATGTGTGATGCTACTTCAGTGCTACCACCAGCAACAACTGCAAAAAGACTGTCAGGTATTGCAGTAACACCACAAACCTCATTAAACATTATAAATAAATCATGAGAAAGAACATGAAAATACATTTAATTCACCTCAGGATTGGTGTTGTCTGAGTAAGACTTACAAATTTGCTACGAAGGTTCTTCTAATTAATAAAAACTACATACGAAACTCTTAGAAAAATAATAAAATCATTTGAGAAATAAGGTTGGATAAAACAAATGGTGACTCATTAGGAGCAACAAGCAGCAGCAGGAAAAGTATTGAGAAATATTATTCAACCAGAAAGTACCATAGGATATTTTTGTGCACCTATAAGACGAACTTGTATTATGCCATGCAAGCTGTGAGAGACGAGGAGCTAAAAGTAAACAGTCTGTAGAAAAGAGCTAAATTCAGAGTGAACATTGATGTTGTAATTCCATTTTCAACCAGTAGGAGGGAGAAGCAGGAAATGGTTTAGCGAAACAAAATTAGTGTGTAAGTCAAATCTGTGAATAACAGTTGGTTTGAATAACTTAAATAAAAGTTTCTATAAATTAAAAACTTGTCTTGAAGACCTTGAAAAACCAGAATTGTAACTTTTAAGGTGAGTAAAAGGTACACACAGCCTGCAAAGCTCAGTAAAGCCAAGGTTCTGTTTCCTCAGCTGCAAATGCAGATAACTGCTATTTAAACTCACACTAGTTTAGTTTTTTTGTTTTAAATCACAGGTCTTTTGAGGGAAATTATAAATTTAAAGCACTAACAATGGAGGTGTGAGTGTGACGGATGACTTTGTGTCACGCGAGTCTAACATTCCTATAATTACAAGACTCACACAGTGAGCGGGTGCTTCCACTTGGGGCTGTGAGTGTTGTTGCATTTCTCCGTCTTCTTGGATTGGCCGTCGACCGTCACTTCTACATAAGGACTGGGGCCAAACCAGTTCTTCTTGTTTTCTTTTAGTTTAGCTGACAGCACTGCAACAGAAAGAAGAGGCCTTACACCAGAAATCTGGATATATGAGGTAATAATCATTCGGGAAAACAAAGTTGTAACAACATTCGGTTCAACATAAAGCAAGAAATCATCTAAAAATCTAGCGTATTTATGGTGTTTTTTGCAAGAAAGCAAATACAAATTGAAACTCCAGGAAATTTTTGAGGAATCATCATTAATATTGCGATGACGATATTACTTGCAATAAATGAAAACTTAACTCAGGAACAAAAAAATAAAAAAAACTAAGAAATACAAAAAATATAAAAATTATTTTAAAAATCATAAAAGCTGGAAAAGCAAAATTGTGATTAAGAGATGTGAGAAAAGGAAAAAGAAAATGAACAAGAAAAGGCAATCAGTAGATCCCGGGAAAAGCAGAACGAAGCTAACTCAGGTGTTTGCTAGCCATCCTAATTAAGTGCTGTCCGGCTCGGGGGCGGGCATCTAACCTAAGAGAACCCACCCGATTGGCCAAATGAGGGAAGAGCTCTATTTGATTCGTTAAAAACATCATGCTTCTGTTTGACTGACAAAATGCATTTCTGTGTAGCAAACATTTGAGCTGACAATTCATTATGTTTATTCTGTTCTTTGCGATATGCGTATTGCACATGCTGATATCGCGGTGACGATACATTTGCGATATATTGTGGAGCCCTAAACACAAAATAAAACTAATTGTGCTTAATGAGAAAATACCAAAATTTGAATCTTGGCTCTTTCAGATACAAATTGTGAATTTAAAAGTTATTTTTCTATAAACAGAACCCATACCCATGGACCCACCTTTCTTCCCATTCCCACCGATTCAAGTATTTTATTCTTGGTTTTACACTAACAGAACGGGAGACTTACCAAGGATTTGAAGCTGTGCCTTCATGGGGTAACCATTGGAAGTGGTTGACTTGGTGACGCCACTGGCCATGACATAGGGCTGGGAAGAGGGCCTGCAGTCAAAACAAATGGCGACAAATGAGTTCCTTTCTGCCAAAACGACCCTTAAGAGTGTGTTTGGTCCACACCTGCAATAAGTATTAAACCCATTAACAGCTCCGACACTCGTCTGGTGGACATCATACACTCACGTTGTTTGTATTGAATATTTTTAACAAATCCAACTGTTCCATAGAAAATAAAAGCACTTTGGCTAACACTAGAGATACTCCAAACCCGATCACGTAATTTTCATAGGATCAGAATCAGGTGGAAAAGATTGGATATAACCTCATAAAACAACAAATATCACTTTTTAAATTCATCCTGAGATAGCTTCATCCAGCTCTGACCTTCAGCTCTTGCTGGGTAGGTTCGCGGCCGAATGTGAAGCGGCTGGGATGAGGATCAGCACCTCCAAATCTGAGACCATGGTTCTCTACCGGAAAAGGGTGGCTTGCCACCTCCGGGTCGGGGGAGAGGTCCTACCTCAAGTGGAGGAGTTGCTCGGGGTCTTGTTCACGAGTGAGGGTAGGAGGGATCGGGAGATCGACAGGCGGATTGGTTCGGCGTCTGCAGTGATGCGGACGCTGAGCCGATCTGTCGTGGGGAAGAGGGAGCTGAGCCAGAAAGCCAGGCTCTCGATTTACCGGTCGATCTACGTCCCAATCCTCACCTATGGTCATGAGCTTTGGGTAATGACCGAAAGAACGAGATCGCGGATACAAGCGGCCGAAATGAGTTTCCTCCGTAGGGTGGCCGGGCTCAGCCTTAGAGATAGGGTGAGGAGCTCGGACATTCGGGAGGGACTCGGAGTAGAACCGCTGCTCCTCCGGATCGAAAGGAGCCAGTTGAGGCGGTTTGGGCATCTGGTCAGGATGCCTCCTGGACGCCTCCCTGGGGAGGTGTTTCGGGCATGTCCTGCCGGCAGGAGGCCCCCGGGTCGACCCAGGACACGTTGGAGAGGTTACATCTCCAATCTGGTCCGGGAACGCCTTGGGGTCCTGCCGGAGGAGATGGTGGACAAGGCCGGGGAGAGGACGGCCTGGAGCTCCCTAGTTGGGATGCTGCCCCCGCGACCCGGACCCGGATAAGCGGAGGAAGACGACGACGATATTTTTCAAATGGATCAACAATGGCTTAGTTTTACATTTTCACAAATGACAACAACGCTGTAATGTCCCACAATGTGAGGTAGCTTACAAATTCAGACACTCTAACATGTAGCTGTCAGCTAGCAGGCTAACAAAGAGCTTACTTTTCACCTCAGGTGAGAGAAAATGTCTTTATTTGTGATGAATTAGAAACCGGACAGCAAATCGAGTGCGAGACGCTTGTAGTGCATGCAAACTCGGCACTTAACATGGTGGAAAGAGTAGTGCTGCATTCAACACTACTAATGTGACACGCCAAACTACAAAAAAGAGAAACCCTGCTCCGTTTGCTGCAGCAACTCAAATAAAAACACGGAGCCAGCCGACACTGAAAAATAAAAAAAAAACAGAGAAATTGTCAACAAATAGCAAATATGCCAAGATAAGAGAAAATCTACCACACTGGATGGTACTGGCAAAAACTCTGAATTAAATGACTCGAAACAAACAAAAAAAATAAAATAAAATAAAAAAACATGACTGGAACATATCTAGCGAACAACAAGAGAATCTCATCACAAACAACGTGTGTTTTGATTCCTTGGTTTTTAGTTAATTCAGTGATAGCAGGAAAAAACTCATCTGAAACCAAATGTGTTGGTATAACAATAACAGACGTAATAACCATTATTTCCAGTTAGGGCTGGGAAAAAAATCCAAAATGTATCGTTATCAAAATGTCTGACTCTTAGAGGTCATTTTTTCCATGTCAATAAATTTGATAATAAAAAAATGAAGATGTGTGTAGGTTGGCAACATTCATGTCAATTGGGCCTTTCTGTAAAGAAAGGGGGTTGAACCTTTGGATTGTGTAGCCTACAGTCGTGGCCAAATGTTTTGAGAATGACACAAATATGGGAAATTGGAAAAGTTACTGCTTAAGCTTTTATAACAGCAGTTTGCAAATACTCCAGAATGTTGTGACGAGTGATCAGATGAATTGCAAAGTCCTTCTTTGCCGTGGAAAGTAACGTAATCCCCCCCCCCCCAAAAGAAACTTTCCACTGCCTTTTATTGCTGTCATTAAAGGACCTGCTGAGATCAATTCAGTAATCTCCTTGTTAACTCAGCTGAGAATGTTGACGAGCACAAGGCTGGAGATCCTTATTTCAGGCTGATTGGGTTAGAATGGCAGACTTGACATGTTAAAAGGAGGGTGATGCTTGCGATCATTGTTCTTCCATTGTTAACCACGGTGACCTGCAAAGAAACGAGTGCAGCCATCATTGCGTTGCACAAAAATGGCTTCATGTGCAAGGATATTGTAACTTTTAAGATTGCACCTAAATCAACTATTTATAGGATCTAGGGCTGGGACTTGATTAAAAAATTTAATCTAATTAATTAGAGGCTTTGTAATTAATTAACCTAAATTAATTGCATTTTAATCGTTCAGGAAAATGTGCTCTCAAAGCAAAACTTTTAATTAAAATTATGAGACAGAGAATCAAACATTAGACATGGTTATTACTGTCAACTAAAGCTTTTAATATAAACATGCATTTTAATTATTCAAATGTCACTGTGTGATATGAAACAAAACCCAAATCAGCTAAATTTTATAATTAAAAATAGAAAACACCTGCAAAGGGTTCCTGAGCCTTTAAATAGTCTCTCTGTCTAGTTGAATGACTGAAATAAATTTGACTTTGCACCAGATTCTAATTTTTCCAGTTTCACTTGTTTGTATAATTGGGAGTTTTTATTAGCACTTCTACTCATAATGTAGTAAAAACACACATATAAATAATAATCCTTCAAAATGACAGTAGAACAGGCACAAATATGATCTAGGACTTAAACGTACTAACTTTTAACACCAGAGCAGGCGTGACATATTGTGAGAATGATCAGGAACACTAACTGGTTCCAGTCGGATGACTGGAGGATGATGGGAAGATAAAAGATCATGGAGAGAAAATAATGATCTGACGAACAGGTGAGCGGACCTTCCTTACATGGGAAGTCCTGATGTCACGTTAAGAAATGGATGCTGCAGACCCGCAGATTCACGCCTGCAGCAGCGAATCTGGTGTGATCTCCAGCCTGATCACAACTTCCTCGTTCCTCGCTGCCCCTGATGCACTTAAGCATCCGCCCCTCAGCTGATGACAGCTTCAACACACCTCGCTGCTTAATGATAGTAATGCATGTGATGTTTAGACAGAGACTCGTCTCAGAAACGTATAACTCCCCGACAGAATTGTTTAGAAAATCATCAGAAAAGTTTCAGAGTGTTTCTGTTTTAACGTAAACTTCTGTTTTCAACTTTAAGACACGTTGTTTGTGATTGTTTACAGAGTAGTGAGAACACGGAGCGTTCTCCCAGCGGCAGCCAGGTGCCTCTCGTTTGTCTTACTTTCATAAACTACTGTTAGGACACAGAATTATTCTGTCTGGCGCTTTTAGCGCCGTACAGATGTTACGTAAATGTAAAAAATATAGCTTACTGCAACTTTTGTAAAGTTTCCGGTGCCGCCGGGCGGCTGCAGCAGTATCGATCTCTGAACAATGTCCGCGACACGGACTTCGTTGTTGTCTGGAGTTGTTTTATTTTTTCCAAGTTAAGAATTTCCTAAATCCTGCATCAGTCCAAGCAAGGCAACTTCTTTCTGTTTTTATTCCATTTTAGTAGCCATTAGCGCTGTGCATTGTTGTGTGCGTCAGTGATATTCAGTCTACGAGGAAGTCGTGCAATGACAAAGGTTCCGCCGTGCTCGAAATGCAAGCTGCGATTAAATGCGTTAATTTTTTAACGCGTTATTTTTTTCTAATTAATTAATTAATCATAATTAATGCATTAAAGTCCCGGCCATAATAGGATCATCAAGAACTTCAAAGAAAGGGGTTCAATTCTTGTTGAGAAGGCTTAGGCCGTCCAAGACAGTCCAGCAAGCGCTAGGATCATGTCCTAACGAGGATTCAGCTGCGAGATCGGAGTGCCACTAGTGCAGAGCTTGCTCGGGAATGGCAGCAGGCAGGCGTGGGCGCATCTGCACGCATGGTGAGGCAAAGACTTCTGGAAGATTGCCTGGTGTCAAGAAGGGCAGCAAAGACGCCACTTCTCTCCAAAATAAAAACATTAGGGACAGATTGGTCTTCTGCAACAAGTATGGCGGATGGACTACTGAGGACCGGGGCAAAGTCATATTCTCCGATGAAGCCCCGTTCGGATTGGTGCATCTGGAAAAAGGCTTGTCTGGAGAAGAAAAGGTGAGTGCTACCATCAGTCCTGTGTCATGCCAACAGTAAAGCACCCTGAGACCGTTCATGTGTGGGGTTGCTTCTCATCCAAGGGTTCACTCACAAATTTTCTCAAAAACACGGCCATGAATAAAGAAAGGCAAAAGTGATAACTCAGTGGCTCGGGGACCAAAACGTTGAACTTTTGGGTCCATGGCCTGGAAACTCTCCAGATCTAAATCCCACTGAGAACTTGTGGTCAATCCTCCAGAGGCGGGCGGACAAGCAAAAACCCACTAATTCTGACAAACTCCAAGGAGTGATTATGAAAGAATGGGTTGCTATCAGTCAGGATTTGGCCCGGAAGTTGATTGAGAGCATGCCCAGTCGAACTGCAGAGGTCCTGAAAAAGAAGGGCCAACACTGCAAATACTGACTCTTTGCATAAATGTCATATAATTGTTGATGAAGCCTTTGAAACATATGAAGTGTTTGCAATCATATTTCAGTACATCACAGAAACAACTGAAACAAAGATCTAAAAGCAGTTCAGCAGCAAACATTGTGGAAATTAATATTTGTGTCATTCTCAAAACTTTTGTCCACGACTGTATATTCAAAAATTAGCTTGCTTGAACGGCAAGAAAAACAACTAACATTCCACCTTTCAATGGCATCATGAATGAAAATGGTCAATATTTTCCTTTCAGCGTTGAAACTGTTCCTTATATGTCTAATTTTACATTTGCATGGATCTACATCCCTCCTGGATCAAAGTTCAACCCTAAGCAGAACAAACAACTGCGCACATTTGAACCACAGATCAGCGACAGGACATAAAACTTAAAACACGACATAATGCTGCACCATTTTTGTTCAGCATTACTTACAGTAACACCTGCATAATCGCAGATAAACAAATAACACATTTAATGAAACGTCTCTTACAAGCAAAGCCAAACAAATACCGGCACTGGTATCTGTTCTGGAATTTGGTTTATTAGCTCAGAGTTTAAATAATGTAATACCCTGGCTCCATCTCATCAAGAATGCACATGGCAGAGCAGGAGAAAGTCAGGAGCTCATGGGTAAACTTTCAGTCTGAAAGCAGCTTTGATCTTGGTCAATTATTCATCGCAACAGCTGACATTGCAACCCCACAAGTCGACCAAACTTGTTCTGTAGATGAGCATATTTGCTGAATGTTAAATTCTATTGACCACTCAGGACTAGTGTTGTCAAAAAAATCGATACCTAGATATAAATCGATACTAAAAGTGGTATCTAAATGAGATATTCCATCCCTGTGGTATCGATATTATGGACTATTATACACAGCCTTCTTCAAGTACACCAACACGCCAGATGCCGTAAAGCAACCTCCGCCTCCCAGACAAACAGAAGAAGACGCAGCATGGCTACACTGCAATTTCCCACGCGAGTTGTCTCCGATCCAAGTTTTGTCTGCCAAATAAATAAACAAAAACATAAACAGCGAATTTGGGAGGCGCTTCACAGCCCAACTTAATTAGCATACCAAGTCCGACACGTAGTTGTATATTCACGCTTATATGCTTAAAGGAAACTCCCGTTTATTGCAACCCGGACTTAATTTCTAGCATGCAGTACGTTTGTTTACTCACGCTGACAACTTTGGTGCTACTTGGACTCCCCGGGGTATTTACCGTAGATTCATCGCCGAATCGCCGTCAGCGTATATCCATATAACGGGTGCAGACGGGCACCCATGGTGCAGCCTCGAAATAAGACATTATCTGCACCAAAACATCTTCATGTCGAAAGGTTTTGTTAGGAATCATTAACGTGATTCCCCTGTTCGTTTGGAGCGGGTCTGGGATTTCTAGGCGTAAACAGACTAGCCGCGGCTAATTAACCGGCGCTTTTAATGACGTCACTGCCGTGCGCCGATCTGTTTTTATTAAGATTACCAGTAGATGTACCTTTGTCCTACTGTGGAGAAATTTGTTTTCTCCCTTTATTGACCAACAGAGTTGTTCAAAAGTACAGAACAAAACATATGGCATTACAGCTTATGACAAAAATGCACCTTAAACAGAGTTTAAGCAGCAAAACATCACTCTGCAAATAGTGTATATATAGTGAGACAATTCATGATTTAAAGTGTTAACTTTCGCCAGTTTTTGTATGCACGTTTTAAAAAATGCTGATACTTGAAAGGTTTAAGCACTTAATACACTTAATTCTTAACATTTAATTTTTGTAATATAAATTGAGGAATGTTATTTTTTGAATAAACTTGTTCGATAAATGGGTGTTTTTAAATAGTATCGAAATCGAGTATCGAGTATTTTTTCAAGTATCGAATCAAGTTTGAAATTTTAGTATCGTGACAACCCTACTCAGGACTTGAGTTTATTTATTTAAAACCAACATTCACAAATTTGCAAACTGCCATTAGATGGGTGCTTTAAATATCGGCAAACACAAAGAGGGTTTTCTCCATTCATCCTTAGATGGCTTTCAAATTAGACATCATCCAGGACCTTTGTCCAGAAGCGTGCAAAACACCTTAATGACCCATACTTCCTCATAGAAAGTACTAGTCAAAACTGGCATCTTTAAATTTTAAATCACAGCATTGAGCTGGGTGTGAGCAGAGCCCTTTACAGTTCATCCCGCTGAATCACACAAGTGCTAGTTTCTGAAACATCATTAAGTTGGCCACCAAGACCACAGTTGTAAGTCTTATCACTGGCAAAGATGAGTCAGCATAAAAGAAAGAGGTGGTGCAGCAGACAGGCGAGCACACAAACCTAGCCTCAACACCCAAATGATAAAGGAGATGGTTACTGTTGCTTTTACTGGAACCAGTTAAAAAGCCACATCTGTCTCTGACCATCTGCACTTTTGAGGTGGAGCAGCGAGATAAAAGTACTCGAACATGAGTGTTCTTCGACAAGAGGTAGTTGGAGTCACAGACCTTGAGCATTTTGAATTTCTGGATCATGAGCAGGAAAATTTAGAAAATACAGTTTTTTTATGTGAAATGCTGTAATGTTGAGGCCACTGACAGCTCAGCGACAGATTGAGTCACCCAGCAGTAAGTGTGTGTAACTCCACAGCTTAACTCCCGTCATTAGCCAGTTACACGCCAACATCCGTGCTACATTCAATGCATGTGAAACCTGTGCAATACCCGGATGCACATTTGTATACCTGTGTCTTTTATGTTGTCTTTTCTTGGTAACTCAATTTTCTATTTGTACTCTATTTTTATTCTTGTTTTTTAAGCACTGAAAGATACAATAATAGCCTACTGCCTTTGTGTATTTACCTGTATTATTTTTTCTTATATCTTTAAGTGTATGTGCTGCCTTAACAAGTGAATTTCCCCACTTTGGGATAAATAAAGCCTATTCTATTCTACGTTGTATTTGCTATTCAAATGTCAAATAAAACATTCGTGTCTACTTCCTTTTATCAACTTTCCAGGGATATAATAAACAGACCTACTCCAACAAATCAAATTTTTTAAAAACTAGTAACACCTTAGTAAACGTATCGTGACTAACGCTGTAAATCAGCATAACATGCTTTGGCGATGATTACCGGTAGTAACAGAAATGGAAAAACAGGTTCCTTAATTGTGACGCTTTAGGAAGAAAGCCCTTGTATAGAAATGTTTTAAGAGAATCAACCACACTGTTTTATGCTAAACGGATTTTAATGATTACAAATAACGAAAAACTACGTATAAAATGTGAGAAAAACTTTGTTCTCTTGACATAATTTATGCAATTCACGAAGGGAGCTTGTACTGCCAGCACTATAATGTTTAATAAATACTAAAAATGAACAACAATACCAATGGGGAAATTGTTAAGTATAACAACTCTGCAAACATGTGGCTTCAATTGTGGCTGTAAAATGAAATGAACAACCACAAAAGTAAAAGATGGTGCAACAGATTAACATACTGCAGAGTTTGTGAAAGTGTTAGTTTACGTTTTATTTATGTTTGAAGGAGAAACTAGCCTGTGAGCAGTAAACTAAACAGATTATCACTAAAATGACACTATGAAAGCCAGACACAGAAAAGGGACACCTAATAGCATGACGGTATGGGGTTATAAATGACATTTTTCTCACCAGAACGTTGTCTTTGTGCCGCATGTCGGACTTAAACACCACAAAGATGAGATAATATGGTCCAACTGGTCATTTAAGTAACACAGCCGAGCAGCGGGAACGGTTCGTTTATGTTAAGATAATGAACTGTCACCTGCTAAACACTGTTCAAGTACATTTGAAAGGGTAGCTCGTGCGTTTGTTTTGTACGTGTTGAATGTCAGCTGGTCACCCGGTCTGACAACAACCTGCTGCCATCCCAGCCCGGCTAGCTGCTGGCCTGTGTCATCATGGCAGGATGGAAATCCCAAAGTCCGACGGCTTTACAACAAAACGGTCCACTAATGAACACAGACCGGGATAATAACTTACTCGGAACGTAGCAGAGGTGGTACAATGTATCTGGTAACGCTGTAATATCCTCCCAGCCCTCGTATAGCGGGGTGTTTTGGTTTATATCCGGATTCACTCCGAGGAAGAAGAAACTTCCACCATCTTCGTAAGCCTCCGTCACGTGACCGAAACAAGGTGGGGCGCACGCCGCTCTTCCGTCACGCTGTGATTGGATCAAAGCGGAAACAAAGTGAACCAATGAACGTTCAGTAAACACGGTGATGCATTCAGGGTCCGTCGACGGGCTCGGGTGCGCGAAAGTAGTGCTTTTATTTTCTGCTGAATAGTATATATATATACATGTATATATATATATATATATATATATATATATATATATATATATATATATATATATATATATATATATATATATATATTATTTATAAAAATAAAATGAAGTATAATTGAGTGAACCAACTATTTGCATTCCACATTAGGACATAAAATATATTTAAAAGTAAATTTGTGTCAGCCAAGCCAGGACTTCACAGTAAAAATTATTAGTTTGAACTCGTTCTAGAAAAATTACATAGCATCTTTTAATAAGTAGCTTCAAACAGCAGATGGCGCTGTTTTACCACAGTCTTGCTGAAGGGCACCACAATTGAACAGTCCTGCTAAAGATAAAAGATGTAGTAAATTAGTGGTCTCACAACAAATATTGAGCTTATGTTGTAATGTAAAATGAAAAGTCAACATTTTATGTTCTCTTTACCAGTAAAATATTTTCAAAAAATAATATAAAAGCTTCCCTCATTTTTTGTAATGCCTTGTAATGCCTTACTTGTGCAATAGCGACCGGATGTACACCAGTATGTCTGTGTTCCTTATGCTGCACAGTTCTGGAAACCCAAGTTTCTGTTTTATTCGTTCTCTTTAGTGGCTGAAGGTGACAATAATAACTTAATGCCTTTGTGTGTTTACCTATACTTATTATTTGTATTCTTCCTTTTCTCTAAGTGTGTGTGTGTGTGTGTGTGTGTGTGTGTGTGTGTGTGTGTGTGTGTGTGTGTGTGTGTGTGTGTGTGTGTGTGTGTGTGTGTGTGTGTGTGTGTGTGCTGTTGTAGCAAGTGGATGTCCCCACTGTGGGATTAATAAAGTCAATTATATTCTAATAAACTCTGTTCTATTCTAATACATTTTACCGGTAAGAACGTTAGAATATAGAAAATTGAGCAAATTGATTTAATAAACCAAATTTAGAAATAGATTTAAAAAAAGTTAAAATAAAATAAATACATTTTTCAAAAACTTTGAAATGGGCTCACATCTAAGTAACCATGGGTTTCTATGGTTCAAATTAATTTTCAGCTCCTCGAGTGCTTTATTTTGAAAGTGTAAACAGGAAGTGCACATTAGTTGCATGGCTTGACTGCTGTGGCAGAGTGGGCTTGGTCAGTGTTAATAGAAAGGCAGCATGAGAGGCTTCTGTGCTCGAAACATGCAAGCTGTGGGATATTTGCAGAAAACACCAGTTTGACATCTCACTCAGAGAAAAGGTAAGCGACGCATCTCAGCTCCAGAGATTCAGGCAGGATTTGTTCATTGATGTGGTTCCATGAAGCTTTACTGGACAGTGTGGTAGTCTTGTAAATAATAAAAACACAGAAACAGTTTCTATACAGCAGCTCAGGATTATTACTGCTTTAATCATATGGAACAAGAGAGACTGTGGCAAGGTAATCAACAAGAAAAGTTCCTATAATTTGCAATTGTGGGATGTGTATAATGTAGTCATTTTGTAATATCACTGGAAATAAGATTAAAATTAATAATTCATATTTTCCATGACAACTAATAAATTAATTTATTAATTTCTATTTATTAAAACCTACCTCTTCTTTTCTGGCTATAAACCAGAAGTTGAACATTGGGGAGAGGTTGCACCCATGACTGGCTTCTTGCCTGTATCTATTATTGTATTTCTAAGTAGAACAACACAGCATCTTTGTGATAATCTCCATTAATGTTAAACATGACAGCTGAAGGATGAGTCTTCTGTCAGCATCAGTGAGCTTAGAGTAAGCCAGTGTGATGTGAGTGACATCCGATAGTGAAGAGGGCTGTGATTTAATAGATGTTGATGGTGCGATCTTTTATTAGCAACACTCAAAGTCAAAATAACCCGAACCTCTCTTTTTAAAAGCACAGATTTAAAGTAATGCTAAATATATCTGTTTTAGCGAGAGAGTTCTTGCTTTTGTCTTTTGTTTTGCACACCGGCTCTTCTCGCGCTGCAAACAGAGCAAAGATATGTTTTCCAGATATAAATTAGCAGAAACTAGATCGCTCTCAGCAGGTTTTCTGCACTGGCCAATCCTTTGTTATTTATACTGAATTTGCATTTTCCCCATCCACTTTTGCATGAGCATTAGCAGACAGCCCCTTGCAGACTGGAAGGAGTTGCATTCTTGTCTTGAGTGTTTTCTTGCTGCGTGCTGTGACTCTCTTGGAAGTGCACTGTATAAACTCTACTTAACAGCAAATCTTGGTAAATTTATTTCAGCCCCATACAATCATAAAGAAAGCATAACAAACCACTAAAAGAAGCTGTTTTAAATCTATTTTCCTTTTGAGTGATGTATTTCCATGCTTAACTTGGGGTTTTCTCACATTTGGGACAATGATCTTAGACCAGCTTGACTTTTGAATGCCTCACGTTGCTTCCTGGACTCCAGTTTGAGTCTGCACATGCTCGTGGGAAACTTCTACCCTCTCGCCACCTCCCACCCAGCCAGTGTGCCTGTGCGACTTTGACTGGAACAGCCTGCTCTTGCCAGGAACCCATCAGTGTATTAATAGGCGTCTTCGACACTACTTTGGTCCCATCCCCCAGCTGGCTGTCCAGTTTAATAGCAGAAGCAAACCCAAGACCCCCCCTCATGGTTTGTTTAAATAAAGAAAAGACAAGCCTATTTTAGCGTCAGTGGTAGATAACATCTTGAGTTGCTATCGGTTTGCAAATAATGTCTGAGTAGGTGAAGGAGCTGCAACACCAGCAAAGTAATTTTGCATTATAGGAAATCATAGAAAAACAAAAAGTCCAACAACCTTAATAAATGAAAAATAGCTGCTTGATTTGGGGGGAAATATATATATAAATCCAGATTTAATGTGATTAAAAGTTGGGAAACACTTCAGTTATTCAACTGGAATGCTCAGTACACTCATTATTTATGACATCATATGGCAAGTGGAAGTCGTAACAAATTATTGGTTAAAAAGGTTGCAACAACACCACCCTGGGTTACACCCCCCAGAGAAGGGCAGAATAAAGGACCGTAGGTTCAAAAATCACAAATGGGGAACAGATGGTATCTTTCCAATAAAACAAATCTTTATTAAAATATCTATACTAAAAACATACAGAGGGAGTTACGTGCTCGGAGTCCAATATCACCAGTTAGTCCACCAGAAGTAACCACTTTGGCCCAGAGCCAACAAATACTAAAAGTTCCACCAACACAAATTCAACACAAACACACCAAATAATAAAACATATGAAACACATGGCAAACGAAATAGGATACTTCCTGTAAGCCTGCAGGCTTTATGGTGGTTGCCCCAGCAACCAGGCGTCCGACACCCAACAATTCATTAACACCAGGGCTGCACAAAATATCGTAAATATATCGTTATCGCGATATCAGCATGAGCAATATGCATATCGCGAAGAACAAAAATATCGCAATGAATGGTCAGCTCATATGTTTGCTTCACATAATGCGTTCTGTCAATCAAACAGAAGCGTGATGTTTAACAAATCAAATAGAGCTCTTCACCCATTTGGCCAATCGGGTGGGTTCTCGTAGGTTAGATTCCCGCCCCCGAGGTGGACGGCACTTAATTTTAATGGTTAGCAAACACCTGAGTTAGCTTTGTTCTGCTGATTCTGCTTTTCCCGGGATCACTGATCGCCTTTCCTTGATCATTTTCTTTTTCCCTTTCCTCACATCTTTTGCATTTCTCATTTTTATGATTTTCTTATTTCTTTGTTTTCGATTATTTTTGTTCCTGAGTTAAGTTTTTATTTATCGCAAGTAATATCGCCATCGCAATATTAATCACTGTTATCGAATATCGCAGGTTTTCCTAATACCGTGCAGCCCTAATTAACACAAATCATTGCAGATGAAACAGATCAGTACAGTCGAAACAGCAGTGATGCGGCCCTCCGGGCACACCACCGGCTCCTGAGATGGACTTGTTCGTGGCAGGACGGCGAGATGGAGCAGTAGAGGGGCCGGTGTACCGCCGCCGATGTCAGATGCTCAGCTGATCTCGGTGGAGCGCTGCAGGCGAAGCCGGATGACAAAAAGGCTCTCGGGCAAACCAGACTGGCAGCCACACTGCAAACAAACAAACTGGCACGGTCCCCCTGGATCAGTGCAACCCTCCCCAATCAGAGGCAAAGACTTACGGTCGTAGCGCGGCTGAATGAGATCAGCCTTAATACAGCTGCCGCACACGGGCAGAGATCTGATTAGGAGTACCTGGGTGCAGTTTGACACTAACAGCATCAGTCTGAGATCACACGATACAAAACAAAGGAAGATGGAGCAACGAGCGTTAGCTAATGCCGCACAGGCAACAGAGGAGGGAGAGTACTTACGAATGCAGCTTTTAGCTGGAGTCTCTCAGTACCCCATTAGAGCAAGCCTCTGATTAGTGGGTAGAATCAGCCCACATGGGCTTAAGGCATGCACAATTCATTATCATTCATTATCATGCTGATTACCTAGAAGCTGAAAATGTCTCTGACTGCATTCCTTGCATACCTAAGCAAGGATGTGTGGAATCAACCGGGCCAGGCTGGGGCCGACTGGAGCGATCCGGGCTGGCCGAACCAGGTACAGATGGGAATGGTCCCTTATGACTCACCCCACCCTGAAATCACTCTCATCCCACCTGGCTCTTTACTGGGATGGGTGGGACCAGACAAGATCTGTCTGTCCCATCACATATAGTTGTGCATTTTTACTTGCGTATACTTTTACAATCATTTTTTTAAATCTATTACCAAAAGGTTTTGTTTTGAAAGCACGTTTGTATGGGAGAACATATCTGATAAAGACTCACTCATCCAGAGTTCATGTGTTAGGCAAACTGCAGTTACCAATTAATGCCAGCGGGGGCAGAGTTGAGTTGTTTTAGGTGGACAGACAACAAAACAGAGAAAAGCTGCTGTGGAAGAAGCTTGGGTGTCCAAATAGGAAGAGAGAACACATAAAACGTTTTTGGAAACAGAATCAAATGGAGTGTGTTGGGAGACATTTTGGAGATTGGAGCTGTTATAAAAGTCCCATCCATGATTTTTTTTCTAATTCATTTTGGTTTCCAGTATGAAAGACTGCCTTTTGAGTCATTTTATGGTAAATGGCCTTTGATATAGTACCTTCTAGAGTCCTGGACCCCCCCCCCCCCCCCCCCCCCCCTCCAGGGTGCTTTACAACACAATCAGCCGTTCACCCATTCACACCCTGGTGGTGATGAGCTACACTGTAGCCACAGCTGCCCTGCGGTGCACTGACAAAGGCGAGTCTGCTGTACACAGGCATCACCAGTCCCTCCAAACATTATCAGCAGGCAAGGTGGGTCAAGTGTCTTGCCCAAGGACACAATAGTAGAGACAGACTGAGCTGGGCTCGAACCTGCAACCTTCTTATTACAGGGAGCGCACTTAACTCCTGTGCCAATGTCGCGCCAGAGCATTGGCGCTAGAAGTTTTTTGAAGGAGCGGTGAGTGGAAAAGAGAGGATTTTTAGTCCTACTAATTAACATTCATGATATTCAAATACGTCAACTCTGATTGGTTAACAGCAATGCGCGTCTTTCACTGCCCTTGCACGCTCTTTTTTCTGGGGTAAAGAATGGAACATTGATGTTTTATCTCCACAAATAACACAAGCCTGAAGTTGGCCCTCCATGTTGTGGAGTTGCTAATGCTAATGGTTAGCTTCTACTAGCCGAGACGCGCTCTGCTGGATGCGAAACCAACAACAGTCTTATATGGTACCAAGCCAAGGTGGGCGAGGCCATGAATGCTAATTTCCTGTAGACGTAGAAAAAACGGACTTTTCCTGATCCAATCATTGTCCCATCTATTTCCGTTTTGTGGTTGATGTAGGTGATGGGCATTGGAGAAAATTGTCCCACCCAGCATGACAGAGTGACTGAATTTAAAAAATAACAAGTATTGCACTGTTTCTCATTTAATGACTCCTTTAAAACTGCAACAATTGGTCACTGTTCCTTTTGGACTAGCTGTTAGCTCATCCAGCAGATTTAAATCACCATTTCCTTGAACAGAGGCCATTCGAAAAGCTATCCGCGATGAGTAAGACTGTAATTATTTGGCTTTTGTGCAGATATACACTTAAAAAAACCCAACCTATCCCTTTTATAGTAAATAATATGATTAAATTGTTACAGCAAATGGAGCGAGCCAAAGTTTGTGCTCATTTAAGCTGCAGAACGTTCCAAAAATGAGCAAAACACC